TAACGTACGATTAAAAATTCCCGACAACTTATATTCCCCGGTGACCTAGGAAACATCTGTGTCCTAAAAATCATCTTATTGTGCTAAAAAATATATGTATTAAAAACAAAACGGAAAGAAAGAAAGAAAGAAAGAAAACAAGGAAGTCGCCCTTCATAATGTTTGTGTCTGTGTGTGTGGTTACGTCATCGTCTAACCTCGCGCGCCTTATATACGTGCCTCTCGCGAATGATCCCCAAAATAAAGAGCATTCTCGCAGGTTAGCGACTGTCCAATTAATACTGCAACAAATACTTGTTGGAAAATGTGTTTATATTCGAGTGCCATTTATGATGTCCCGGAAGGCAAGAGAATTTCATAGAGGAGGGAGAAAGAAGGGGTGGTTAAGATGTACAAAACTGTAATCTATCATTATTTTTACTTTCTGATTTAGGAACTGGAACTTATTCATTCCCTCGACCAAAAGAGGGCTCACTCGTACCACAGGTTGTCCGAAGGGATCTCTCAACTGTTTATTTTTTTTTTTTTCAGAACATAACTTTATTCCCGCAAACCAACAATTTTAAAATTACTTTTCTTTAATTGATACTTCCTTTGTCCTGAACAACAAGCGTTCTCGTTGACGAGACAGGAAGGAGGGGAAACAGAAACAAAAATTTACGAGTATTTCTACTGTTTGTTTAAAGAATTCTAACTCGAACTTCGAAGTAACCTTTTTTGTCTCAATATATGGTTATTATATTATGGATATACATAGATCGATTCTTTGAGCTTCACTTGATATAAGGCTTGTCTGTACTACTTTTAAAATCAAGAATCTTTTTAATGTAAAAGATGCTGTCCCTGAGGGTCTTCGCACACGTGTGGCTTATAAATTTTCGTGTGCAAGTTGTAATGCTTGTTATGTGGGTGAAACAAACCGACATTTCTCCACGCGAGTGCGTGAGCACTTACTTTGACAGGTTTTCGAACTTTTTTAGACATCTGCAGAGTTCAGAGTCTTGTCCAGGGCACCTCGTCTTGTCGAACATCCTGCACACCGGACTACTTCCAGATCCTGGACTCTGGAGTTATTTTAAAAATATCAAGTGAAGCTCAATGAATCTATGTTCATAAAATGGGAGAAACCTGACCTCAACCAGCAGGTGAAACACGAACCTGACTCTCTCCCTGTAAGTAGCTAACCGTCACTAATTTTAAACTTTTCAGTATGCAAAATTACAAAGCAATGTAACGAACTTCGTAACATAGCGCGCGACTTAAATTCAACCGCGATTTCAAAATATGTAACACTGAAGATGACGGTTGTACCGTCGAAATATGTCTGGAAAATTAAAGAAAGTTGTTATGTTTATGCAGTATTATGCAGTTCTATTTCACTAATTTTTTCTGTAATGAAAAGGAACTATGGGTAAAATAAAAGCAATTGATTAAAACCCCATCAACACCTATACGTTTTTGTTTCAAAACAGAAACATCATCCTCCGTTTTGCCCGACCGTCCACATGTCTCCAGTGAAAACGGTCATCGCCAGAAGACGCATCTTTTCAAAAACGCTGTCCAGAGTGAAAATTTAAGAAAAAACCGCCTTATCGTTTGCTACTCATGGACGGACGAAAACGGACGAAAATTTCATCATGCCATACATCATACACTATTAGCACAACACATGCTCTGTGAGAATTGCTATGTTTCGATCATCGTTTTATGGTTTGCCCAAAGACGGGCGTACTGTTGAGTCTCCCTGGGGCGCTCCCCCTCACAGGGTCCACCCTTAGTCCCTGGGGCACTCCCCCTCACCGGGTCCACCCTTAGTCCCTGGGGCGAGAGTCGGCCGGCTTGCACTTTTCTCGATCCCATTGACACAAGGTTCAAGCAGCATTTAATTTTTAAAAATAATCTAAAGCAATCAATGCTAGGATTGGTGCAAGCAGCTTGTTGACTTGTTATTCTCCAATAGTCGATGTGGCTCTTGTCTAAAAAAGCGAATAAGTATCAAACAATACCGTAACTACAATAATGCTATCATGTCGTTAATACCAAACACCGTATAGTAACAATTACGCAATGGAAATTGTGTTTCTAGCCAAAAACGCTGACAAGGATCATTGTACAATTTACATTCCACGAGAGCACCGAAAACATATCAAGATGCCACACGAATCACAGAACATCGACATCACATGCACCAAAACAGATAAATGACTGACAAGTATACTATCAAACAACAAAAACCACATTGGAAACCACAAAATCTTGGAAACCACATATTGATTTCGTCTCAAAAAAATTTCGAAAAGTGTGGGAATACTTGCGAAAGCCCGCTTTTACCTATCATCCCAAACTTTGATGACCTTGTATTACTCCCTTGTATATCCCTTCTTAACATACTGTAATGTCGCCTGGTCCTCCACCTACTGTTCCAACCTAAACTGTATTTACCTTTTGCAAAAGCGTCTAGTGCGACTCATAACAAAAGCTCACTATCTAGCAAATACCGCCCCTTTATTTAGCCAGCTTAAAGTCCTTGACATATTTAGTATTAATTCATTTTCTGTCGCTACCTTTATGTATTCTTATCACCATAATCTTTTGCCTAATAGCTTTCATGACTTGTTCTTAAGTAGTAATCAAGTCCATCAATACGAAACTCGACTAGCCTCTCAATATAGACCTCATTTTTGTAGAACAAATATAAAGCAATTCAGTATCCTTTACCGAGGACCTAAAATCTGGAATTCGTTGCCTGTTTCACTAATTAGCTCTCCTTCTATATCTGTTTTTAAAAAAAATTTAAAGAATTATCTCACTGATAGCCGATCTGTCGTTTAATTTTCTGATCTTGCTCACTCTGCACTCAGCCATGAACTTAGTTCACTAGGTAGTTGAAGGAAACCTATTAATATAAGCTTCAAGCTTCGTTAGGCTTCCTTGTCACATTAGTTTTATAATTTAATTAACACCTTTTGTTCATGTTGTGTAAGGTTTTGTGAGTGACTAAATAAATAAACAAATAAATAAATAAAGATCTAAAAAACATTGCAAATTTATTAGTTAGCTTTCTGCTTAATACAGAATTGAACTTTTTTGCTTTACTTAGCTTTAAAGGCGTTTCCTTTACATCAGAATTCGATCATTCTAGTGCGGATAATTCCAGAACTACTTTCCCAGCAGAAACAACCTTGCCTTTTAGTTTACTGCATGTTAGTAAAGTACAAGGTGCTCCATTCGCTTAGAAATCTTTAGTTAAAAATCTCATGATTCTGTAAAACATGATTTACATGAGTTCATATGTGACGATCTCACATTCAGAGTTGTTCTGTAGCCGATAGTTTGCAATACTTTTACTGACTGTAATTTACATTAGTGTAGCAGTTGTTTTTAGAGTCCGAAAACGGGCAATAGCTGCACTTTTTTTTAAAATTGATCCCAGATCTGGGTAGTGCTTTTAAAAGCGACAGTCACTAGTAAGGAATTTCTGCATTTATTCTTCAGACGTAATTTCGTAGGAAAGCCAGCCGCGGGTGGCGTCAGGAACTGCAAGCTTTTTTGTCAGGCTAACCACGCCAGGAAACAAAACAGACGACATGGCATGGGCTATAGAGCCAGCGAAGACGTCGCGTTGAATTGATGTCCAGGATGCATGATGACCCATGATTAGATCCTGGACCAAACTATATGAAGTAAAGCAATGAATGAAGCTGTTTTGGTGAAAATGGAGGAAACAGAAGAAACACCAGAGACAACATCATTACTTCTTGTCCAGAGTCTCACCGCAAAATCTTGAGATGCATATTTCACGCAACGACCCTAGGTAAGAAAAAAGACCTGCGTGAGAATGTGGGAACTTAGAGAAGGTTTGCTATGCGTTACATATCAAACACTTAATGACTAGTCTCGAGGGAAACAGTTTATTTTGTTTCCCGAGAATGTTTTCAGAGGCGAAGCTGGAAATTCACCAAACCTAGCTGTCATGGCAGTCGTTGGTCAACATTCGCGGGTAACAGTGCACTGTTACACTCTGACTTCATAGATTTTGCAACGTTGCCCGCTCAGAGAATTTTGGCGGGAAACACTTTCATGGTTAGATGTCATGTGACCTCGAAGTAACCAATGAGAGCGCGCGCTGTTGGGAAGAAAAAAAGTGCAAAATGTTTACACAGCACTCTGACCAGCCTACAGTCTCGGGCGGATGCAGGATTTTTTTTAGGAGGGGGTGCACTCGTCTCTTGCTCTACTTCAACACCAATAAACCACTTTTTTTTTTTTTTGCAGAATACCAGTTGTATTAGAAAACCGCAGGTCATCTCAGGGGGAGGGGGGGGGGGGGCGCCCCCCCTGCCCCCCCCCCCTTGATTTGCCCCTGGTCTTTCCCCAAACCCCCCCCCCTTTACCCTTTTTTGGTGCTTTTTTTGGGTATTCTTCCCGTTTGTTAAGACAAACAAAAAAAGGCAGTGGCCAAACTAAAAAAAAAAGGAAAATGGGGTTTTTGCAGAATACCAGTTGTATTAGAAAACCGCAGGTCATCTCAGGGGGAGGGGGGGGGTGCGCACCCTCTGCACCCTCCCCCTTGATCTGCCCCTGAGTCTATCCCTAACCCCTCGCACTTTACGCTTGTTTGGTGCTATTTGTCGTGATCCTTCCAGTTTGCTAAGACAAACAGAGAGAGGCAGTGACCAACCTAAAAGAAAGAGGTAGCATGGGTACATTCTCAGGAGAAGGATGGATTGTTACTCAACTTTGGGCGGAGAAAATCGCGCGCCAGTAAGTTAACATTAGTTATGGTTCTACTTCTGATCGGTCGAGAAAAGGCGCGATACTCTCCAACCAATCCCAAATCAGCGAGTAAGCCACTAACATGGTGGACCTTAATCACAGTACCAGCACACAGGATCCCTGCACTTCTTCTCTTTGGCAAGACCGACCGGTGATGATATCGAACGTAACACCAGTGTCGTTGTTTCTGTAGGGTCTACAAATTCCTCCTTTTTCACAGCAAACTTTACCTGAACACAGGTGCCCTGTGCTTCTTCTCCTTGACAAGGCCGACCGTCAAAGATATTGAGCGTACCACCAGTGTCGTTAGTTCTGTAGGGTATACAAGTATCTACTTGTTGACAGCAAACTTTACAGGCGTCTTCATCACTTGAACACTTACAAGGCTGCAGACCCTTCGCTTCGCAAAACGTTTTGCATTCGCCACCTCTGCATTCTCCCCTTAGAAAAAAGCAAAATAAAGATTAAAAGAGCTGTGGCACGAAATTTTTCAAACTTCAGACACTGGGAAGTGAAAACCAAACTGCGTGGAATCAAAAACCTGAGCTTAAAGCAAGAAAGGAAGGTATAAATGTCATAGCAAAACTTGACCATTCTCGAAAATACTAAAGTAAAACAAAAATCTGTTGAGAGGTTTCATTGAAAGCGAACGGGTAAAAAGGAAGTCCTCTCGTGTAACTGCTTTATTCGAAAACAGTTTGCAGAGGAAATCAATAAGTATTTGCTCATAACTTGAGAAATGAATTGGTGTCTTTCTTTTGTTGTTTAAAGGGGGTGGGGGGTGGGGGAACTTTGTCCAACGGTTTGAGTACCTATGAATTGTTAGGGAGCTCAAGCAACGACGACGGCGACGGCAACGAGAACGGCAAAAAAGCAATAGGTTTAGGGCCTGTTTACATGGAGGTGGGGGACTCAAGATAGGTGAGGTAACATGTGACGGGTCACCTTCTGGTATTTAAAGGAAGATACTTCTTTTAAACAATTTAAGGCTAAGATCAGGTCGTATACACTATCTACACAAGCATCTTAATTTCAGTTTTATTATAAGGTTTAATATTGTGTGCGATCCTTTCTTGGTTTAGTTTTAGATATATATCTGTATCTTTATGTAAATTAATTAATGCACAGCTATTAGGTAGAACAGATACTTTATTGTAAAGTTATTTGATGAAATTACCGTGGGTAAATAAACGTTTCAGTCACTCACTCACTCACTCACTCACCCCACCTATCTGTAAACATGATCAAATTAAAATGAGAGATTATACTAATGAACAGGCGGTTTACCCTACCAAAGCGGGTTACCTCACGTACCTGGGGTCCCCCACCTCCATGACCAAGCCCTTGGATTAGCAAAACAACAACTTTGCACGTGCATCACGCTTTTTTGTACATTTCTTTGTCGTCGTTGCACGACTACAACGTGAAAGTGCCTAATTTCACGTTTTTTCGAGGACAGGAACACAAGAAAACTACTTTCTCTTTTCTTTTCTTAAACTTTGATACAGGCTTTAGAATTAAACTCCGAAAACATTTGCCAACATTTGTCGAATTAAACGAGACAGAATAAGCGCGACAAAGTTTGAGGCAGCGCGAATTCAATTTTCATTTCTGTTGCCGTCGCCATTTTTGTTGCTTAAGCTCCCTATCAGTATCCTTGACAAAATTCTAGAGATACCCCGTTTGAGGAGCGAGGGTAGCATCCAGTCTCAGATCTCTCTCCTTTGTATCCCTTGTAGTGGGAAAGGCATGGACGGAAGAAAAGAAAAATAACCCAGACAATCTGGACACCAGATATCCATAGAGACAAGACTAACCTATCAACACAAGGTGTTCCGTCACTCATGGGTGAGGCTTCAGGACAAGAGAGACTGTTACTATCACAAAATGTCTCGACGCTTCAAGTTGACGCGTCAGCATCGCAGATAAATCTACAGATAAAACTAACCTATCAATACAAGGTGTCCCGTCACTCATGGGTGGTGCATTAGGACAAGAGGGACTGTTACCATCACACAACGTTTCTGCGCTACAAGTTGTCTTGTCAGCAATGCGACAACTCTGGCCCATAGTGGTTTTATAAGTGCAGTTTTTACAGCACGGCCAGTCGTAGCCATCACTGAAGAGAAAGATAAACGGTCGAGAGATTACATTTTATTTTACCTTTTAATGTTACTGGTCAGTTTTCGTACGAGGGGGTTTTCAGATAGGATCAAAACAAAGTACAAAGGATTCCCCCGGGGGATGGAAACTTATGTCAGTCATTAGAAAATACACACACTCGGCAGTGACAAGAAAAAAAAAGGAAACTTGAATACAGGAAGGAACTTAACAAAGAGAAGAGAGAGGGAAAGAAGAGGGAGGCCCGAGAAAGGGTCATAAAGTCAGGGAAGAAAGATTGAAAAAGAAAGAACTAAAAAAACGAAAAATATAAAGAAGCTTTGTAGGAAGTAGCCTTCCACGCAAACGTCAGGCTTAAGGCTTCGTCAAGCGTTTCTGTCCCACGAACAGGAGAACTTTATTTTATAGCACAGCGAGTCAGCCACAAATATAAAACAAGGAGTGCTTCCAGCTGTGGGAACTGAATTTCGGTTAAAAAGCAGACCAACCATAGCACTTCCAAAACTCGAAAGTGTAATTTTGACCTTGAGTAATTTAGCGCGGGACTAAAGAGAGACTGGGACTGAGAAAGATCAGAAACGGTGTCTAATAAAGGGAGAAGCCATTAAATTTCTTACAACAAACTCCTCAGTTAACTCTCTAAAACGATAAATTTTGCCCCATTAAAAAAGTAGATTAAGACTCGATTTTTGTGAATTTCGAAACCATCATCTTGTCACAAGTCATTGTAGAACGACGTCCTTTCCCCGAAAAAGTCCTTTTCACAACTCACCCGCCTCCGTGCTAGAGGCTACAACCTCATTAAAAAAATATCTAGGTGGTTAAATTTGCTGAACGAAAGTTGATGGCGCAAGAACGCGCCACGAAGCCCCAAGAACATCTCTGTGGGAGGGAGGCTGCGTACCAGGCGCTTGGAAGTAGTGGGCGAAGGAAAGAACGGGCGCGCGCGAGGGAGACAAGCGAGGGGTGTCGCGTGTCTCCTTCTCGCACGCCCGTTTTTTCTCGTGCCCACTACTTCCAAGCGCCTGCTACGCAGGCTATGTGGGAAGCTAGTTAGAAAGGGGAAGAAGGAAGCTGGTAGTCACCTGCATAAGGCACCCTTCTTAAGCTTGCATTCCTTAGTGCAGCACAAACTGTCTTCCGGTACAATACCTCCTGGATCACATTCCTCTCCTTCTTCTAACTTGTAGTTACCACAGGTCTCAGTTCTTGGTTCTAAACAAAGAAAAATAAGCACATATCGACATTACTAGTCCTAGAAGTATGTTGAAAAGAGTTTGGTGGCATAAGCTCCCACGAGTTTTCTTTAGCTTAGTCGTAGGAGCATTTGAATTAGTAACCAAAGGGTCATAAGTTCGATTCTATAGGGAGTACTCGGATTTTTTCTTCCAAGCTGTCTGTGTCACAGCTGACTGAAAAAAACATCCTTCTCATGTATTCACCCGGCTTAAAATTCACTATCACTATCAAACAAAATAACGGAAAATACAGCCTTAAGGATTTTGCTTACAAAATCGGAGTTATCTCGGAACAAATATCCACACGAGAGGCTTGAAATATTTACAACAAAATTATTACTGCCGCTTCCAATCTGGTCTGATCTGAACATACGTCTTTACCTGTGAAACAAAATTCTGACTTGGATTTCAAAACCTCGAGAATTCTACGCCTGCTGCATGGAGAAAAAACCTAGAAAAGCAAAATAAAAGCAAGAAATCGTTACCATTTTTAACAATCGGTATACAAAAGTCAGGAAGAAACGCAACAATCTTTACCACGGTCAAACGAGGAAAATTTGTAAAGGCCTAGTAGAGTACTTGAAAGCTAACGAGGATGTAACTTTCACAGTTCAAGTATAGTATATTACCAGTGAGTTGTTAATTTGCTTAAAAACTATATAATAGCTTACAAAACTATTTAGAACTTATGTTACTGCCAGCGCAGGGCATTCCTGTCTGCACGCAAGGGGCGATAAGTCATTGCCGGTTAGGTAACTATCGACTATTTTTTTACGCGTAGCTGTTTTTTTTTTTATATGGAAGGGCATATAGGCGATGAAAAGGAAGATAAGCATCGCTCTCAGAACAAACGATTACGAGAGCTTTCCATTACAGAGCTTTAGTCACACGGGTTCATACAAGAAATTGCAGCCATTTTTTAAGGACTTGTCAAGCGTGAGGATCTTTCAAGAAGCACATTCAATTTTCAAGGACCACCTACATTTCACACATCGTACAAAAATGCACATTCCCAGTTCATTCTAACATTATTGTAAGGCTTGAACTGTTTGCTCCACCAACTTGTCAACATTTTTCAGTTCACTTGTTTTATAATGATAGTTAATTATTGCATTTTAAAAAAACGCTTTATGTAAATCACGTTTAACTTCTCTGAGCTATGATTTATATTCTGTCTTGGACGATCAAAAAGCGCCAAAAACACTTTTCAGGCAACTACATTCAAAGTTGAAGAACATTTACGGACTTGCAAAGGAATTTAAGGACTTTTCAAGGACTTCCCTACAATTCAAGGACTTTTCATGCCTGAGTGAACCCTGGTAACAGAATGGAATTTCACCAGAGTGGTCACTAGGAGAACAGTTACCCTTCAAGCCCCAAATAAACACTCCAGACTGATCTTTACCACAACAATGACAACAACATATTTATTTAACTACGCTAGCCACACACAACAAAAGCTGATTTCCAGAGAGGGCGTAGGCAAACAGACATTAGAAAAAACAGAAGCAATATGGTATTCACTATCGGAATGCAAAATGTTACAAAATTTTACAGAATACTTTACACAACACAGCTAGTTTTACAATATAAGTTGGTGGGAGTTTTTAGAGAATAATTATACATTTCCTTCAAGAAAAAGTTAAGAGAATTTGCTAAAATTAAGATCAAAGAATTTCCCCTTAGTGATCATTTAAGTAATTGTCATCACTTTTTTTCTTGATTATGTATCGACATTATTAGGATAACATTGATGTTGGTCACCCTTGTTAAGTGTTAACTGCATCTAATACCAAAACCTAAGTTACATTACCTTGTTATTGCGCAGCTGCCCACTAACAGAAGCAGGATACATGATGTATTTTCCTCCATCTTTCTGATTATCTGCCGGTGCACATTCCAGAGTATCCGGATCGTGTTCACTGCCAAAATTGTGTCCTGAAAGAAGACAAACATCGTAAACATTTCGCGACGCTACCTTTGGTGTCCCCGCGAAATTCCATACTGGCGACGTGTCATATGGGTCTAGACCCATCACTCACGTCATCAGTATGAAATTTCTGCACTCGTTTCTGAGACGTCATTTTGTGGAGAAACGTAGTGGTGTCGCAAAATGTCTGCTGTTTCCTCATTTGATCCCTAAGACAGAGTTTCATGGCGATGCACAATCCTTTGTATATAAAAGTAGAAAATGTCTTGTTTCAAAAGAAGAGGAAATAACCAAGCAACTTACCAATTTCTTATTGCAATCCAGTTCCATTTTTTTCAAGTTACAAGTGAATGATGGAGAAAGAGAGAACATTGTTAGCAGGTTTTAAAAACTGAGTAAAACACATAACAATTAAATGCAAAGTGACATCGCTTTGACTATGAAGATGAGCCCAGTGCTGCAAACGGGGTTGTCAAAACATCAGTCTCTACAGGTTTACAATCCTATTCAGGACTACAATCACCTGTAGGATTATACTACTTCTGTATTCTTGCATATCTTCGTAAGATAATTATGGTAATGTACATATCGAGACAAAACAACTTTAGCTAGCAAAACGCGATTCAGCCGCCATTTTCTGGTTTTCAAAGCCGGCGCTTTTCGCTACTAGTGGGCTATAACATATAGCCTAGTAGTAGCTCAACCAATCAGAGAGCAGCATTGATAATAGATCACTAGTTGGATTTTACTTAAGCTCATTATCATTTATTCAAAATATTTCCCGCTCCTGATTGGCTCAAGTCCCCTGGATAATTCTTATTAGTAAAATCCAACTACTATTGAGAAAATCTCGTTCTCGCAGTCGTCCTAAGAATCTAAAGATCTCTGTGTTAAACAGGAGTCATAACATACGTACGATGGGCAGTGACAATGTCTGCTTCTCCTGTGAGCAGTCTTCTGCCCCAATTGATACTGCTACTCAATCCGGTGTTAGGGTACAACCACGTGTTGTTTGTAAAGTATCCTGGAAAGCACGTAATTTGAAAGTAAGTTCTGGTTACAAAATTCAAGATACTCAGAACAGGTTGTAGTCCAAGAAAGGTTTCCATTACAGAAACCAGTTTGGTGACTGGTAAGACAAGATGTTACAAAGTGCTGTATAATAATCATTTTGACTATTATACTCATGTATGAAGAAATACGAAACTTGCAGTTATTCTACGACCTTTAATCGCTGGGTTTAGGTTCTTATAATATAATGAGTCATCGTGGAAAAGCTACAAATAACTACAAGTTTAGTAATTCCTTAATTAAGGTCAAAATATTGAACAACAATTTGTAACATCTTGTCTAACAAGTTACAATATACCAAACTGGTTTGGTCATGACATCCTTCATTGTTCTAGTATTTTCAAAAGCTTCTGGATTCTGTGACAAAAGTTCTTGATGTGTAGGTATTATAACATTGAAACTAAACGCCTTTCCCTATACCAGAAAAGTTCTCAAATGCATGAACAATAAAATGAGCAAATTTTTTGTGTTTGAATTAAAGTCTCTCTAGAAGAAATGCATTCACTGCAAGGTGTATTGTAAGGATGGGGTGGCATGATGAGGGGAGGCATGGGCCTCAGATGGGCTGGGATGAAAGAAGGAAAATTAGAAGTAGCAACAGAAGAAATAGATGAGTAGAGCTTGTAATAATTACTTTCAGTACAGATTCCTCCTACAGCATTTCGTTTAGGGTTACCAACATAAGCTAATCCAATAACGCCATCAGCGAAGTCTTGGTAAGTAAACAGGTGTGCCAAACAGTATTTCCTCCAATCCTCTTTACTGAATGTCTGAAGAAAATGAATAATTTTCCATAATTTAACTAGTAAATCCTGGTCACAACTTAATTGTCGAGAAGGTAATTAAAAGTGAATATAATTATTCTATTTATTCTGACTTACTCTTAAAAGCTCTTTGATCGGCCAGATGTCAGGACGTTCCATATTGTAGTGATCATCGGGTCCTGGTTCAGTGTGAACAGTCACCTTAACAAATGTAAAGGCTGATAAACATCCTTCTCACATCACATTTCAAGTTATATTTTATTACTAACAAAATTGTCAACACTACATCAATCAATGTAGCAAAATAGACTACCAATCAGCCATAGATTAGTCAATACCATTCAATATCAATTAGCTTTTGCCAATTACCTGTAGTAGCTGCTTTGTGATCATCAATTTGTGTGTAAATAATGATTGAATAGGCAAATCTTTGTTTACAGTTTTTGCCTCATTAACATATGCTCATCATTATCTGACGAAGCTAATAAACTGAAACCTCTGAATGTTGAAAGAGCATAACAGTTTCACTTATTAGTAAGTTATCTCATCTCTGAAAATTTGAACCCAATATTATTAGTGAAAAATTTCAGAGACATTCTCTTTTAAAAACTCGAAATTATACAAAGAATGTAATGGCACATAGCTAACTTTTTTGTTATCCAGTAATTTCACAGTTTTCGATGGCTAATATTTCCTTCCACAATTAATGCTTGAAGGAGCTGAAAACTGCACAAATTGCTGAAGTTAATCAGATATTTCAATTTTTCAATTATATATAGTTCAGATATACGGCAGCCACGGCTTGTGTGAGCTAAGTTGTATGCTAATGAGGAAAAATCATTGTAAACAATGATGCCAACAAAGATTCACCTATTTCATCTGACAAACGTTTCACTTGTACATACAGTGTAAGTATTATGTGTAGTAAGAGCACTGATAGCTAATCAAAATGTGAAAAATAAAACTCTGCATGCTTACTTCTGTAATTTCAAAACCATATCCTTTGTATTCACTTGACCATTCTGTATCCCAGTAAATTTTGTCCACCCTGTCTGCAACACCAATCTAAAACAGAAAACAGTCACTTACAGAGACAGAACCCAGAAAAAATACAAATGCACTGTATCATATAATCTCAATTAAATACTCAATACTTGCATGGTCTGCACTCTGGAGCCCTGACAAGATCTGGTATTCACAGACACTACTTTTGGACCTGACACTGCGTGTTTTCAAAACAACATGTCCTTCCAATCTACTGTAATTGGCTGTGAAACATGGATAATCACCAAAGACATGGCTGTGAAACTAAGTGCTTTTGCCACCTCATGCTGTAGGATCATGTTGAACATCAAATGTCTTCACAAAGTCTCAAATCACCGAGTTTACGATCTCAATGGCATTAGCCAGCTCAGCTATTGTGGCATGGCCACATTTTGTGCATGGAGAAGGATGGACCAGCTAACATTTTACTTTGTATGAGCTCACCCCCCCCCCCTTCCCCCCGTCTCTCCCAACCATGGGAAAAGACTCCCAGGGAGACTGCATAAGTCCTTTCCAGCCAAGTCCAGGAATGGATCAACCCAATTTTTTTTATGACACCGTGCACACTGCCCAAGACCAAGCCAGCTGGAGACGACTTTCAATTGACTGCTCTCTGGTTGAACGACAATGATGAGTCATACTTGGATTTCATGGAGCATTTCAGCGCTAGACCTTAATGGTCATCCACTAGTCCTCTTGACCAGTAAAAACTTCAAATAAGAGCAAAAAAAGAAAAGGACGTATGCAGTCTCCCTGGGGGTCTTCTCCCGTGGTGGTGGGGGGGGGGGGAGCTTATACAAAGTCAAATGTTAGCATCCTTCTCCATGCACCCAAATGTGGCCAAGGAACTTGAGCTGTCGTGAGATTACTGTTGATGGCAGAGGGCTAGTGCCAGTGAGATCGTAGATTCTTTCATTTGAGACTTTGTCAAGACATTTGATGTTCAACATGATCCTATAGCATTAGAGGTGGCAGAGGCATTTAATTTAGTGTCATATCCATGTCTTTGGTGATCATCCATGTTTGACAGCCATACAGTAGAATGAAAAGACATGCTGCTCTAAACACCTGCAGTTTCAGGTCCTAAAGTACTGTATGTGAATACCAGACAAGGATCGAGAATACAGAGCCATGTACTGCAACGGTAATTACTTTGTACCAGTAATTTGTAATGTTTAAAGAAGCTGTGTCACGAAATTCAGCCAAATTAGGAAATTACAAAATGCCTGTTTAATGAAGAGAAACGTAAAAATAACCGCTTAAAACATTAAAGGAAGGTTAAAATAACACAACAGAAACAACAGATGTCACGGATGGGCAAAACACTTCTTCTAACTTTGCCTAACTTTAATCCTAAAAACTTTTGACAAGTCGGATTGTCAAAAAGTTTCAACTAGGGACGACGAACGTTGAAGTTTTTAAATGCTCAGGAGACATATTTGTTTGTCTCGGATCCCTGATTTTGACATTTACATGTGATTTCTTTGTTTACTTTAAGTTCCATAGCGATTGAGGGAGAGTAATTGGCAAAATTAAACAAAATGAACTGGCATGGACTGCCGTGACACAGCCCCTTTAAATATAAAAGATCAAAACAGAAACACGTTTTCCCATAAATGTTCTTTTAACATGTTCTTTACAATGTTCCAGAAAGAACAATGCTGAAAACTGAATAGCCGACACGACTGGACAAGGCTGGAGAGAAGACTGGGCACTATTACAGGTACTCGGGCCAGACAGGCCTCTATGACTATCACTACTAGGAGTCCAATTTGTTTAATCACTAGTACTATTACGGACCGAATTGGAAGACATGAAGTTCTGTTACCAATTAATTGTAACTATACTGGTAAAATGTTCAAAATTTGTGACATTTTCAGCTTTAAATATTAAAGACACAGGATATTCTGAAGGCATTTTTTCAAGAAGTGAAAATAACAACCCATTCGAGTTCATGTGCGCATGGCGCATACTGTCCATTATTACTTAGGCATGATGTGTACTGTCCTATCATACTGTCCTATAAGTGTTGAAATCAGAACAGTTGATAGCCAATCAGATTTGAGAATTTTGTTATGGTTTTTATTAAAATGAATTTTGGGATATACCGGTAAGTCTAGTTTGCTAGATCTAACTGTAGCGAGGCCATGCTGCATCATGAAGTCAAGACAGGCTAACAAAGATTTCCTCAGGACTAGATGGATCAGTGACTAATAATAACGTTAACAGCAAGCACTGCATTGAGAGACTTACTTAAAGTTAGTTACACTAGCGGCCTTACCATATAATTTAGTGATTGCCTAGTGTCTCTTCCACCCATTTCTTTAAAAAATGAGTAATCAGCCACTAAAGCTAAAGTACACCTTATCAGTGTTGACGTGACACGTCTCTTTCTTCCAGATCTCATATCTGGAGCTAAAACCAAAAAAATAATATTGGTCTCAATTATTGCAGATGGAAGTGGTCTGCTTTTAATTTGCTCACATGTTTATCTGAACCCCCCTACACTAACTCTTGGATTCACCCCATACAACTATCTGAACCTTAAATTAAATGACTAGGAAACATGATCATATTGCATTGCTGGATTTGCAAACGTTTATTAAGTAGGAACCAACATGCTTAATTACCAACATCTTTCTTGTAATACACAGTTGAATCATTTGAGTCATGGCCACAAAAACTAAATGTCCTTTTCCTAAAAGAAAACATAAAAAATATACCAAATTAGATTTTGAAAAGTTTACAGAGAAGTAAATAAAAAAGAAGTATTAATTTCTGTGTCGTTACAGCAGCGTAAAAGAAAATTGCAATGTTAAAAATTGAGAACACTACTTTCCCTGGAGGCAGTCAGTCATCCGCACACAAATGCCGCCTAAGCTTGTGGAACCCAAGCATTTTTTAATTCCTGTGCATTGACAGATCCACTGGGGAACAAGTTGTGCATAATATTACCAAATTAAGTATAATTACATGGGTCTGTTTTATCCTGTTTATTCCTTTCTTAGTTGAGACAGAACCTGACATCAAGGCTGTGAACTCCACCCTCCTCCCCATAGCAACCGACAGCTCACTCTTGCAGCTTAGCTCCCACTCCTTTCCACTTCCAGGCTCGCCAGCCTCTTCCCATAACTTATCTCAAAACAGGGGCGTTTGGGAGTGCAGACTCCCTGCAGTGAGAATTTATAACTCTAAGGTTTTAATGTCTTCTCTAAAGCAGAGACAAGAACACCATCTTCCAATACAGAATAAGCTGGAGGAGAACCAACAACAAACTCAAAGTTGAACTTTCATGATTCTTGTCCAGGTCAAAATGGTGCAAGACAAGTGATCTCCCCCCTGCACCACCCTAGCTAGGCTTTTCCCATGAGTGAAGCAGCTTTCATGGCATACTGCCAGAGGAGTTGTTCCTTTAATTTTTCAATGCAAGCACTTCAAGGAGTTGTCAAGAGGTCCCCAAAAGAAGGAATACAGTCAACTCCCGATAATTCGAACCTTCAAGGGAAATGGAAAAAAGTTTGAGTTATCAAAGGTACAATTATATAGAAAATAATCAGAAGGGAATTAAAAATTGCTTCGAGTTAGCAGGAGATTAGAGTTATAGAGGGTTTGAGTTACCAGGAGTCGACTGTAATGCCTTATAAAGTTCTTATTGAATGAATCCTAGTCGTACTCTTACTCAATATAACCTGAACTGTAGACTTACAGACATACGTTAGTAGAGAACAAAACATCTGAAGAGATGTACTGCGGTTCGTCCGACATTTTACATATCATATAATGTCTAACATCTGTCACGCCACCATAACTAAAACTACAAAATTTATTATTTTACACTTTCGGCTCTTAATGAAATTTTAGAAGCTCATTGGATGATTGCAATAAAATCGTACTGCAGTGTTAATGGCCCCAATAACACTGTTTTCTCAATTTTCTTAATTTTTCGAAGGTCACATTTTTTTCCCAGTAATTCTCAGTTCTGTCACCACTACACAGCCTTACTCTTATAGTGTTGTGTGTTTTTGAAAAAAGTCAATATGTATGTGTGGCTAGGCTAATTTTTCCACATTATGTAGATCTTACCTCAATGACATATGTGTCCTCTTTTGTGTCTATAGAAGCGGAAAGAACTCCATCATCTACATGAGCTCTTACATGAGATAAAGGGTCGCCTTTAAATCATAAAAGTGAAATATATTAAACACCTTGGAAAATTATTAGGCCCTTAGATCTACGGCAAAAATTGAGTGAGTTAGATTTTAATGATTAGGAGAGAGAGACAAAAACTATACAGATTCCATAGCTGCATGTTTTTAGTTCACAGTAAGTTTCTAATGTTTATATAGATCAATAAAATATAGACACTACACTATTCTTGCATGTATATCAAGGAAGATTAAAATAAAAATAACTTGCATGTAATACAACTATAAATCATTTTATAAATTCACAATTAGTAATCTTTGTTCAAATCTAGCTTTTGATAACCCACACAGTGTTGTTTCTGAGGGGAAAAAATGCCAGAGTGAAATGTTAGAGATTTGTGCCAGTATGAGGTTTGATTGAGAATCACAAACACGAGTAAAGGGAGACAGGGTTATACCTTCATCATAACCTTTGTAAAAACTGTCTTTATCAATAACTGCAATTTCTATCTTCTCATTATCCTCTCCCACAGAGTAAGCATGGAAGTCTTCACTGAACAGTTCAACATGTGGAACGAGATGAAGCCTGAAGTGTCTGTAGTGAGCAAGAAAACATAAACGATAGATTCCAGTTTCTACAGAATGATTGCAGCCCTGATATATTGTAATAATTACACTCTCCAGCTGCATGCATGGAAAGCTGCTCTATAGTTGATCCACAGCTCAAGAAACCTTGTCAAAGCGCCTCCCTTTCAAATCTTAGACTTGCATTTTGTGAGCAATCTCCAATTTATTTTGAAGCTTATGGAGAGAGCGGTGTACATGCAACCAAACCCAAGAGCATTAGTGCGATCATAGCTGTACCCAATGCTCCAGTCAGCCTATTTAGCAGGCCATAGCACGGAGATGGCCCTCCTTAAGGTACACAATGACATCTTGCTTAACACAGATCACCAAAGGATCACTCTATAATACTTTTTTTTTATACTAGTACTGTTAGACTTGAGTTCAGCATTTGACACTTGTAGATCATAATGAAGTACTTCTCCGTTTTTTGTCTTGAGATAACTTGTGGTAATTATATAAAATTGTAATAGTAATAGTAATAAATTGCTTTATTTGCATGACCGCATCATTTTACAGTAGTATTGCAAAAGCATGCATATGACAATCAAAATATAGAACAAACAGTACACTAATAATAATCTAGAAAAATTCAGTTACATTACTAACAATGAATCACGTATTTTCATACAGGAGGAAAATTAAACAAACTTCATAACTAACTTATTTACATGATGTTCCTTTGAATTCATTATCAGTTTTTAATGCTTTCTGGAGATGATTTCTTGTCAAAGTGACAGGTATTATTCGATTGATTTGATTAATAAAGGCCTGTCTCTGTACTGAGTATTTGTTACATTGAAAAAGGAAATGAATTGTACACTGCACTTCAATGGTTCAGATCCTACCTTCTGGTAGATCACATCGTGTGTTACTTAATGGGAGCTTCTCAGAGGATTTCTCTCTACCTCATGGTGTACTGCAGGGTTCATGTGTGGGGTCGCTGCTTTTTACAATTTAATTATGCCAGCGAGCTATTTGAGGTAGTGAAACGCCACCTCCCAGATGTTCATGCTCACGCAGATGATAACCAGTTATATATCTCATTTAAGCCTGGTTCCACACGAGTGAATTGGAAGCGGTAACTGCATATTACAAGATTGTATTCTAAACATCAAGACTTGGATGATGGCTGACAAAACGGAATTAATGGTAATCGGAACCCGCGCGCAAATGGACAAGATAAGCATATCAGAGCTCAGTATTGATCACGTGAAAGCGTCTGCAGTATGCAACATTCGGAACTGAATGACGTGGTTTGACAACCATCTGAGCATGAAAACCGCCATCAACAAGACTTGTTAATCGGGACTTTATCATCTGCATAATATTGGGCACAATAAAAGATTTCTTAGCTTTGAAGATAGAAAGTTGGTTGTTCAGGCCTTAGTGATGTCGAGAATAGACTATTGCAATAGCCTATTGTATGGTGCATGTTGCCACTACGAACCTTAGCAAGCTCCAACGGGTGCAAAACACGGCAGTCCAATTGGTGTGCTCATTGCCAAGACATGAGAACGTCACATCGTCATTTATACGTCTTCACTGGCTGCCGATTAAGTTTAGAATCAATTTCAAGTTGCTATGCTCTGTTTTAAGTGCATTCAAGGACATGCCCCCAATTATCTGAACGGCATGGTCGCCATCAAAAAGACTTCGACATACAACCTCCACTCGAACACCAGTATCCAGTTGGAAGACCATTCACGACGATCGGAAAAAATGCTTGGCGATCAAGCCTTTTCCAATGAATCCTCCAAGATTTGGAACAGTCTCCCACAATCACATTACAGTCACAGGAAAATTTTAACACCTTTGAGTCATTGCTTAAAACTCACTATTTTAGAGATGCGTTTAATTTATTATTTCTTTTAAGTGTTTCATATAGTATATACATTCGCATTTTATTGTAAATTCAAATTGTAAATAGGTAACAATAGTAAATTTGGATTAAATTTTAGTATGTAAAGCGCATTTGATCATAATTCCTCCTGTATGATAATTTGTGCTATATAAATATTAAATATTATTATTATTATTATTATTATTATTATTATTATTATTATTATTATTATTATTATTATTATTATTATTATATTATCATCAATTCATGGAAAAAAAACATTGGTTTGACAGAATTTTGATCTCGGAAGCACTGTCTACATTTCTAGTCAAGCGTTTTGTGCAGGAGTTAATCCAGATTTCGAGTTCCGGTAGGTTTCACATAAAGGATCGTTCACTTTTCTTCAGCAAGGAATTATAATAGAAATTATAGCTCTACTTTTGCCTAATTCTTCTAGTCATGACCGGCACATGTAGACTGAATGTCGAGCCTTGTAAAGACGCTAGGGGGCGTCTGTAACAGGATAGCCGAACATTTTCACACAATATCCACACTACAATCCAGATAAGATCTCTGATTGATGAATTCTGTGCATCCTTCTCTTTTATTTACAATATCCATCTGCAGAGAACAGACGCACCCGCAACCAGTCCAGCAAACATCCGTGGTCTGTTAACTTGACATGCCTATTCCAGAGAGCCGAAACACAAGTAAAAACAAATAGAAATGCAGCAAGCTGTCCACAGCGGCTTAGGTTTTCCCCGGGGAATCTATTCTAAGATTTAATCACCAATCACAACACCAGAAATTATTTCCGTCATAAGCATTAACATTACAACCAATCAGAAGCTTTCCCCAACATTCCAGGGAAATGGAAACACGATTAACAACGGCGATTTACAGACGTCTCTTCTCCCGATTTTTTCTGAGGAAGGGGGACGTCTGTACACAGGCTACAACTATGACTCATCTAAGATCTTTTACTTACCTTCCTAAAGTGGTAAAAGAAACAACTTTTTCTTGTGTGCTGGCATCTCTCTTGTGGAAACCATGTAAAATGTCTTTAGTGTGTAGAGTTTCATAATGAGTCAACACACCTATCTTGCCTGCATGGCAAAACAAAAATTCTAAATTCATTACAACATTAATAATTATATTTATTTAATAATAATAACAATTATTATTATTAAGATATTATTACTATTATTATTATTATTATTAATATTCAGTGCCCTAGTGGCTGTGCTTCGTTTGGTCACAATGACAATAAAATATATTAAACTAGAAAAACATTCTGGCACTTTCAAATATTGCAGGAGGGATGTCACTAAGATTTCAAGTTGCAGGGTAAATACAACAAGTAGGCAGGGAATCAAAAAGCTAGGGGTTTATTTTGGTTCTATTTTTCTTCTATTTTCCTGTGAAGGTAGCTGGGGACCATGTTCATTAAGTAGCTGGGGAAAATCCCCAGCCCCCGCCTCTAAATGACAGCCCTGAATATTGTAATGAAAGCCGCCAGTTTAGGGACCTACATTCTAGGGTAATGTGCCGAGTCAAAGTGTTTAGTATTTTTTTTCTTTGAGTTTATTAGTTTATGTCCTTTCTAAAGTTAAAGTAAGATCATGAAACATGCATTTAAACAGCATTTCACTGTTTCGCCTTGATGGGTAGCATTTTGATTATTACTCTTTAGATCCTTATGTAACAAGGCACAAAGTGTCTGTTTTCCTTGTGACTAACAACCATTTAAACTTTTAAACAAGTTGAACTTTGGTCAACTCAGAGCACTGAAATAGCCATCATTTAGTTTGGATGGCTGTAAACAGTGGTTATGCAATTCTTTTTGGTGGGAAGGAGGAGGGAAGGGGGGTAAACAAGGAATATTATAGGAAACAGAGCTGTCATTAAGGGCCATAACCAGCAACACCTGTTATGGCTGAGTTCACTTCATGTTACAGGTGATCCAAGCTAACTAAGGAGCAAGGGATGGCGCAGTGGTGAGAGCGCTCGCCTCCCACCAATGTGGTCCGGGTTCAAATCCCAGCGTCGACGCCATACGTGGGTTGAGTTTGTTGTTGGTTCTCTCCTTTTCTCCGAGGGGTTTTTTACCGGGTACTTTGGTTTTCCCCTCTCCTCAAATAACCAAATGTTATTTCCAAATTCCAATTCGACCAGGAATCAGGTAGACAAAGAACCACTTTGTGGATGTGCTACCTCCAAATTATTATTTATCATTATTTATTTATTTATTTATTTATAACTAAACACTATGAATTTTCGGTGAAATGTTATGGGTGATTCTACATTTGCTATGGCCGCTTCAAAACTTAATGACAGCCCTGGGAAATGTGGAGATGGAGAATGACATGTTCCCTAAGGTATTAGTCGTAAGTACAGCTGCGGGACAGAGCTCTGCCCTGGGCTATAAGTTTAGCTCCTGGTAAATGAGCACCAATTGAGCAATACTGTCCCAAAACGTCTTAAGATTCCAATCAAAAGAACATTATACCCAATATCCAAGTATGTATCAGTAAGGGATGTAAGTTTTTTCACATGAGATGAATCACGAATTAGTTCATGCTTTAGCTGTGCGTATGTCAAGATATTGAGCACTTGGGAAGTTTGGAGATACGCCTCTTTCGCGCTCTCCAAACTTCCCGCGTGCTCAATATCTCGACATACGCACGCTGACGCATGAACTAATAGCAGAAACTCATAAGGGGTTGAAACATGTAACTCTCATATGTTTGCTTTGTCCAATGCTCATGATTATTCATTTTCGAAAGTACCATATTTGGAACGAGAAGAAGAGATAACTGACCAATCAAACTTTGTAAACAATGTGACGTAATTTTACTTCAGGTTCCTGCGCTCGCTTGAAAAAAATGGCCGAGAAACGGGGAAAAACTCCCGAAAGCCGAGAAAGCTTTCAAAGGTCGAAACCAGGAATCTTACCGAAACACTGAGCAGGACATTATTGCCCGGGCCAAACATAACATTATGAAACCCATTGACATCCTCACAACTTCTTGAAATTGTCACTTCAAAAAACGATGCTTCGTTGACCCTCTGCACACTAAACTTATACTGCAAATAGGCTTTTAAAATTCTTATATTAAAAGTCTAGAATAAACAGTAAAAAATATTTTCCAATAAAATTCATTAGCTCCGTATCGAAAAGTGTGCAAAACCTGAACCTGACATTTTCGCAAAAAGTGATGCGTGTAATGAATGTGAGACGCATTTAAATATCTCCTTTCGAAACAGTGATTTTATAATGTTTCTGGGCCATTCCTCAAAATAAAGTCAGGAAACATGCACAAGAAAACATTTTCCTAATCAAAATACCAAAAATCCTTCGTGTGTTTGCGCAAGATGTGCCTTATGGTATGAAAGCGTACGTTTAATGGAAACGTCGACTTGTCAATGACTTGTCAAGAACTTGATAATGCCGGCAACTTAAACTAAACCCGTTGTCAATGCAAATATTAACACCTATTGTCTAATGACCAATCAAACGCCTGCGTTGCTGGTACAACGCGCTCCGTGAACGCGAGCTGCAGTGATGTTATTACAGTCCCTCTATTTTTCTCGCCCCCCCCCCCCCGACCCGCTTCCCGAGCTGTAATCCCCGACGCCCGCCCCCTCGGTACATTGGCCTTCATTAACGGTAAGACGCGGTGTGTCCAAACGATCTCACGAAAAAATAGGGGACTGTGAACAGTCTAGTTGTAGTCACGATCGTGACACATTTTGAGCTAATTTCATGATGAATGAACAAACTCAGAACAACAGACAGAGAAGCCGTTTCTTGAAAATTTCTATTCAAAATCCAAACAGTTAATCCTTTAAAGCAATTTGGAAAACACTATCTGGATCGTGGATCCGTTCACGCAAGTGAAATCGGCTGAGCACATGGCAAAATTCAACACAAAATCCATCTCAAATCGGGGTACATTTTGTAATTTTTCTTTAGCGTCGAAGAGAAAAATTTATAAAACGTCTCTGAAACATTTAAAAATACATAAATTCCCTTTCAAAAACGTAATTGTCTTAGCCACAGAGTGCAAAATGTACCTGAAAATTTCAAAACAGACCATGCGCTCCGTCGTGAAGAAAACAAGGTTGAATTCCTCGAAGGACGATTTCTTGATGAAAAGCTTCCCTTCCTCCACAAAAAGAAAGCTGAGCATTCTTTTGAACTTTCTCTTTCCATTTTTTGTCTTTTAACGGTGTATTTTTAACCTTGAAATGCAGAACTCTTTTCTTAAAACATCTGCATGGTGATCGCCCGGAAGCCATTTGTTGAAAATGGATATCTGTCACTAAGGTTTCCAAATATGGTAAAACTACTGGTAGAATTAAAGTGTACTATTTTAAAAGCCTAACGTTTCCTAAGTAAGCTTGTGTTTTGGGGTTCTGCAAACTAATGACAAGAGACTGTTGAAGTCTATCGCTACGTTACTGTTGACGTCTATCCCTACGTTACTTTCAGGGGACCGTCGCTCTAAAGAGGAAAACAAGGAAGTGCGCGAGCAAACTGATGAGTTTAAAATGACAAAAAATTAATGTCGTATGTTCGACAACAAAGAACTAACAAAGTGCAAATACTGGTCATTTATGAAAGCATCTTTCCGCCAACTCAGAACCATAAATCTCACAGTCGGGACATTTCTGGCAATTTACTGTAGATTCAAGCGACAATAATATAGAAAATAACTAAAACAGATTCATGTTTTTGTTCTCGTTCTAACTTACCTGATTTTGATGCGAAGACACTAAAGCGGGCTGAGATGAAGAGGAAAATTCCTAGATAACTAAATCCCAGCATTATCATAGGTCATATTTAGAGAAGAACAAGACATTGTTTTATATTGTCACCCTCCACTTTTCCGCCACAACTGGCACTCCGTCACTGTGATGACAGCGAGTGGATGACAGCAGCACGCGCTGCGAACCGCTGCCCTGTTTCCCAGTTCATTGGATGGAAGTCACGAAAATTTCGCTTGCGTGACCAGTGAAAAGTTGACGATGGCGGCGGCGGCGGTAGGGCGGTAGACTGTTCACAGTCCCCCATTATCCCGTCAGATGCGTTATTTTTTTTTTTGTTTTTGCTTCTTAAGCTTCTTTGGCTCGACTACAGAGATAAAGGGAGAGGGCATGATCGCAGGCTACAGCGGCCGTAGCTCTGATACCCGAGGGGGCCCGGGCTCTGATAACAGGTCAAAAATACCATTTTCAGTTCTGGAAGTTTTCCTGACTGATTTTTGGGACGTTATAAAAGGTATTTTGACTATTCTCAGGAGCCCATCATTTGGTATTTTAAATTTGGGCCAAAATCGCTCTAAAAATAAACTGAATTTTAAAATTTAACCAGTCAACTGAAAATAAACTGCTCGGAGAAAATGCTGTGACACGAGAGTGACATCAAGGGCTCGCTCTTGGTCACGCAACCTAACCAAGAAGACAGCAAACGTCCAGTCTGTTTCCTCTACCTTTTCCCTTCCTACGCAGGCTACCGTAGAGGAAGGGCAGTGGTGCTGTCTACGGAATGGTCTTCTTCCTCGTTGATGGCCATAGCCTGTTCCAGGGGTTCAGATAGTAGAGCGTGGGAGAAAAAATTCATGAAGAAAAAAATATGGAGGGTCGTTTCCCCCCCCCCCCCCCCCCCCCCCAACCCCCATCTTCCTCCGCGCAACCAAAAGCGCCCCCCCCCCCCCCCCCCCCCCCCCCACCTCCCACCCCACGCCCCCCCACCAAAAAAAAAGCCACAGCTGGGGGAAAGGAGCAGACAAGACACAACAACGCGATGCCCCACGCACGGCCACAAAAGCACAACAGCGCACCGGTACGGAGGGACCACTCCCGCTGAGGGGGGGGGGTCGGTGTGTATCATGTGGATGGTTTTCCTTGGCTTGTGATGCTGTTGCGCTCGTAAGGGGATTATAAGGTAGTAGGGGGGGGAAAAAAATAAGATAAAAAAAAAAACTAGTGGCCCGTTCCCCCCCCCCCCCCCCCCAAACCCCCCTCGTTTTCACGGTGTACAATTAAAGGGCCCCATCATCTGGCTGCCACACTCTACTATCTGAACGCCTGGAACTAGCCTAAGAAGCGCAGACGTATTGGGAGAGAAGCGACGACCGGAAATACGTCTGCGCTTCGCAGGCTAGCCTAGAACAGGCTATGATGGCCTTTATGGGGAGGCCAAGTCCGTCCGAAGGGGATAGTGATAAAGAAATTAACTGCAAAAACCGTGGAAGAAGATTCTGCTGACTGTCAACGTTGGGTCTCTAAAAAAAAACAGGAACAAAAAACGAGAAGTCCCACCGGACTACTGCAAAAAGCTGATCATAACAACGTGCATTGGTTTTTATATAACAATTTTCGGCTAGCTAGCCATACCAGTCTTCTTCAGGTTTACAGATGTTACCCTTACAAATGCTACAGATGTTACCTTTTTCGGGCTTCCGGGTATCAAAAAAGGGAAGGGATTTCGTGAGTTGAATTTTAAGAAAGGGTAGGGAGAATTATCACTAAGGTTTTTAAAAGAGCCTTATATAATTACGCTAAAATACTTCGAGACTTTCGAGTCTACGCACCTAGCTTATGGCTGCACGCTAAATAAACTGAAAGACGAGAAAACTTACTCATTTACTTACTTCTTGTAGGTTTGTGAAGGGGACACCATTCTTCAATGGAGGCCTTTACGAAAGGGTACCTTTTTTGTCAAAAATGTAGCCTGCGTAGTAGGCGTCGAGAGGGGTAAATTAGACTCAGGGGAACTAGGAGCTTCTGGGGGAACTCAAGGGTAGGGGATAGGGAGGAAGGGAAAAAGGGAGGGGGATTGAGCAGGTATTGGGCAGAGAAACTCCTTTCCCTTTTCCCTTTTCCCGCTTTCGCGCTTTTCTCCCTCTCCCCTCTAAGTCCTCTTTTTGCGCCTGCCACGCAGGCTATAAAAAATGATGTATAAAAGGGTAAGGGGTACGTTGGACCGCGCACGGGGCAGCAGGCCTCCCCATATGAAACTTTGTTGAGTAGGCTCCTGGGCCCAGTTGTTTCAAAGCCGATTAGCGGTAACCCAGGGTAGGACCAGGGTTAAATTTTAATCCGGGTTTCTTTTTCTTTTGTTGAAAAGCATTTTGTGGGATAATTTTCTCCACTCTCTTTAGAGTGATCCAATTATCCATTTGTACGTAGACTAAATTTGTTTTTAAGCTCTCATTTCTGAATTTCAATTTCGCACTAACCCCTGAGTTATCAATTAGGACTCTGAGAACGAGGCTGGGGCTCCAAGGGAAGCTCTCTTCCGTAGTTGCTCTTTGGCTTGATACTATTCAGGATTTTACAATTCGTCTTGAATAACCTAATGACTTTGGTCTCTTGTTCCCAGTGATTTGAAGATTTAACGTGCACAGCTTAGCTAGCTTTTGACCGATTGCAACCTTTGCCTTCACCGTTCAATTTGACCTGCGTCTACATTAGACCGGATACCTTTTCAAGTCGACGGCATGAAATGCTATCCGTTATAGTATTAGCCTGTGTAGCAGGCGCCAATGAGAGCAAAAAAGAACGAACGCGCGCGAGGGAGACACGCGAGGAGTGTCTCTCTCGCGCGGGCCCGTTCTTTCTTGCGCCTATTTATTTCCCAGTGCTTGTATTACAGTATGAATACCTGTTCACACTGCGCTAAAGAGTGGCGTAGAAACCTATCCGATTTATGTGATGATACACTTTCAAGATCGGCTCAGCGTTTTGGTGCCGGGGCAAGAGAGCCTCAGGTTGAGCTCAGCAGCTGAGCTGTGACCTTTGAGTACTGTTGGCGTTTACAGTCCTTTTTTGCAGTTCAAGTGACCTCGGATAAATTTGGCACTTCTGAGCAATAAGGGCCTGTTTACACGTAGGTGGGTGAGGTAACCCGCTTAGGTGCCGGGGTAACCCGCCTGTCCATATAATCTTCGCGTCGGAGGCTGTTTTCTTTCTCGCTTGTCAGCTCTAAACGCTTCAAGGCGCGCGCTCCCTTCTTCTTGGTTTAAAGTTTGCGTCGTAAGGAGCTCCAGCTTTGCTCCTTCCGCCCCAAAGCACTCTTTCTTTTTGCGCGAGAGAGTGCTACACTTTGGCGGGTCCACTCTTTCCGCCTCTCGGCCCTCCTTCTTCTTAGGTAACAACATTGACGTAACATTGCCATCTTAAAGCGCTACATCTTGCCGGGTTCTCTTTTTTGTGCCCAGCGTTTCTCACCTTGGTGAATTCTTCCCCAGATTACTTTCCTTCTGCAAAAACTACCTTTTGCGCCTGAGGGCGCTTCACCCTTGACCCATTGTACAGAAGGCTATGAACAATGTGATAAAAAAAAGCTTTCCACTAACATTTGTACAAAGATATTAAAAATTCAAGCAACATTTCTTTGGCATTCCAGTGAAGAACTTTTCAGCATTTGTCGAGAAAAATCGGCGCACGCCTATAATCTTGACCTTCGCTGTTTTGCCGATAAACATGACCTTCTCCAATTTGCGAAGGTCATTATGAAGGTCAGGTCTCCGTAAAACTTTATACTGGCCTGTAAATGAAAAAACTTGACCAGGTCTTTGATGAATTCTTGCCTCAACAGCTGGACTTTTTTTAAAGCTCTACATCGTTTATCTCTTTATTTGCCTAAAGAGGTGCACAGTTCAAAGTCGTTGAAATGCGTTGAGGTTAATGAGCTTAAGAAAGAAAACAGAATTTCTGCACGTGCATCACACTTTTTGGTACATTTCCTGGCCGTCACTTCTCATACGACGTAAACACGTTTATGAGGAAAGTAAACACAGTTCAGAAAGAACAGATATGCAAATTTGCTATTTAATCCGGTGGAGAAAAAAACTTTGTGAATGAAAATATACGGTATATTATGTTTGAAGGTCAATTCTTGATTGATATAGGATTCTTGTTGAGGTCGGACAATCTGTTAGCCTTTGTTTGGCAACATACTACTCTTCAGCAATTTATCATTGTTATGCGGAGCGCCTCGGGGGATTAAATAATTCGCTGAAAAAACGCACTTTAAGTCAAGGTAAAAGTGAAAGTGCTGAGTCAGGGAATTTTTCTCACAAGTGCCTCGAGCGGAACGATTCTAGAACCAAAAAAATGCAGAATTCAAACAATATACTTCAGAAAGTCCTGGCAGTTTATAATGTATTTTCAGAGTTTAGAAAACTTTGTTTAAATAGTACCACGGCAAACAGCGGGATTCGGTATCATGACATAAACAGATACAATCCAAACGGTAGAAAATAGGTGTTAATTACATTTTAATATGACATAGTTTTCGTGATAAGAACTTAGATTAACGAAAAGTTCATTTTCGCCTGTGAGCAAAGTTCATTAATATCCGCCCCAACAAGTCTAAAATTGCCCAAGTTCTTTTGTTTAACAAGCCGCAAAAAATTGAGAACAAGGGCTTACTTTTTAGCAATTTGCATTATTTTGCATAACGAAGAAAAGTTTGTATCCCGTGCTGCTTAACAAATAGAGTTGAGAGACTTTTTGTTTTGATCAGAAACCGGAATTTAAAAAACTGCAACGTTTGCCAGTAAAGACAGGTGGAGAAAAGAAATAAAATAATAAAATAAAGGTGTGATAATATGAGCAGCATTTATGTGAGTTGTGTTTACAAATTTTCTCGTCCAGTTTGGTGAGATATATAACACAAAAACAACTGTATCTGCCATAAAAAGACCATCAATGAAAAGGGCCGTTTCAGTACCTTTTCAGAACTGAAGAAAATCAAAAGCGCGTAAGGACTGATTTCAAAGAAATGAGAAACGAAAAAGTCCGCACGTTGTTTGGGGAAAAGTTGACGTGATGAAAGTATAAATTCTCTCAGCCGTGTTGGTTACACCCTCTGATAATTGGCGCGAGCTATCGCTACACGTGCAAAATCCAGGGACTTGTTATGCAAATGTATCTTCTCGCTCACTTTACTAATGCCCGATTTGTCACCCTTATTCTTCCTTCCTATTCTTATTTTTGACGATGAAGGTCTTTAAATTCTATTTCGGTATAAGCCTGATCGGTATTTACATGGGATTTCTTAACGGCTGTCTTGCAACATTACGTTCCGCGCGTTGTAGAAGCCGATGTTTCGCCGCACAGGTGAGTTAGTTGTTGATGAATCAAATTGTTTAGACATGTTGTTGAATCTTTGACATATCGTGATCTCGTACCTGTTGTACTTAAGTACCAGTTTTCCTGTGGAATATAAGTAATTCAGATTTGTCCTAAACATTGTTGAAAGTCACCTTTTTATCTTGTTGCTTTGCTCTCTTAATGTTTTGCCTTCCGACTTTGCATCCCCACCTACAAATATTCCAGAGATTCGAAGAAAAATCTAACTAGGACTGCACTTGTGGTTGCTATGATCTGGTACAAGTTCGTTTACTAGCTTAAGTAGGAATGTGAATCTGTGCACAAAATAGGATGATCTTGGCGAAAAAAGTAACATATCGGTTTAGAATCTCAGTTTGGTTCCCTATCTTCGCGCGTGTTCAGGTGCAAGCCGAAACTTTGGATTAGCCGTTGGCATATTTCTTAACGTAGAGTTTCTTGCAAATCCGAAGCAACATGAAATTATTTTGTGCCGAATCTAAAACTCTAAAAAACGTAAGATCCACTCATTAACTTGGGGAGAGCAAAAGTAGTGATTATTTGCTATAATTGATCTTAAGCAACATCAAGTATTTCCGATATGTCAGCATATTTTTCCAATTCTTGCGAGTATCGGGTGATTTTGAAAACTGGCTGTTTGTTTGTACACTAGCGGTTGCGGACACTTTGCATACGAGATTACATTTTCAAAGTACATCGAAGAGAATCGTGCTGTTTTGTTATGAAAGAAACTTTTTTGCGTAAAATAAGCAGATTTCTCACTTTGATCAGTGACTTCATACTTCGCAAATGCAGCCGAGAACTTACAAGAACCCTGAACGGATATTCTTTGTAATGCAAATACTTTTCACTCAGCTCGCTGGCTTTTAATTTAATTTGTTGAAATTGAGTGGTATCTCTAATGTGCTTCGTGTCTGTTTTACGGAAGTCGGATTTGTGATATTTCTCGCTTTTGGAAGTGGCAAATTAATGCAAATTTTCACATCTTCCAACTCACCCTATATATTGCTTCACAGTTTTAAAGAATTGAAATTGTTTTCTACAAAATTTGGACGACGGGGAGAAACGGTATTCTAGCATCATTCGATTTGATAGTTTGGAAATCAGACGGGAATTTCGGAAGGTGTAAGATGGAAAGACAATGTTGCGACCAAAATTAACAGTTCTATTCAAAGTTTGTCTCTAATGTCTTTTTTACGCTACATGTATAACGACTAGTCTGGAAAGGCGCAATATTTTAATGAACAGTGTAACACACATTAAGCTTAATTTTTCTTATCAAACTAAATACCATAAAAATCAGCATTAGACTTCTTCAGCTGATTTTGAAACTACTGTTAATAGTTGCATCACGTGAATTTTTTTCAATTTAGTAAGCTACGGATACAAAATACCTCCCATCGAGCATTTGGTCATTTGAAAAAGATTAAAAGTTTCATACTGTGCTTCGGGCAAGAAAAAATAATTTTATTTTATTCCCAACTGCTTACATTTTTAAAAGATTTAAAGCCTCTAAGAATTGGCAGAGCACCTTCAGGCACAGCAGCCCTCAAAATTCATTGAAGTGATATTGTTATGCAATGCAATGTCTAGCCACACGATACCTATTGCAAGCTGTTTAGACCCCCAAAAAGCAATGTTTTTTCCCCATGAGGTTCAAATCTGTTTTCATTATCCACAAAATCGATTTGATACAACTGTGCTTATTAAGGTGAGAGTCACTGGAAATGTGAATGGAACATTTTCCAGAGAATGACTGAAGAAAATGGCCTTTTAAATGAATTAAATGAGAATACTGGTACAGTAATAAGTACAGTATTATACACACATAAATTTCTGTGCGTAGAAACAGTAGAAATATATGGTATGGTTGAATTTTATCCTTGGCTTAAATTTTATTTTTCTTTGTATCATTATATTATATAACCATACCCAAAAACAAAGGAAAGTAAAGTAAAATTTAACCATTGTTGATGAAAAAATTGAATGACAACATATATCATTGTTGGATGTATTATTAGATCAGCTGTTAATGTGGTTTTAGCTTAATTATGCAACTGTCTGAGACAAAAATGCAAAGCAACCTTTCACTCCAATAATAACTGGAATAGATAGCCCAGTTTGAGAATTATGTTTACAAATTCAGCCAAAAACTGCTTATTCTGATTTTTCCATACTTACCCTGGCGAGAGAATCTGACCTTTAACTGTGGTATTTAACTCAATATACATGAACTCATTATTCCCTATCCTCTTTCTGTGGCTCTTTTCTTGGTGGGAAAAACACAAGCCACATAAAAAAATAAAGATGCTCAAATTAACATTGTGTGGTTCCAGAAAATATCCATACCCCCCCCCCCACCCCACGGAAGATCATTGGAAATTCCGACGGGGAGGGGTATGGATATTTTCTGGAATCCCCCCCCCCCCCACCCCACGGAAGATCATTGGAAATTCCGACGGGGAGGGGTATGGATATTTTCTGGAACCATACATTCATAGAGTTGGCACCTCAATAAATACCAAAGCCAGATCCGGCCCTTGAAATAAGGGGGGACCCAGTCATCCAGACCCGAGATAGTGGGGGTGGGGGGGAGCCTGATCTCTAAAAAACATTTTTTTGGGTCCTTCGGGCCTCAGTTTGGTCTAAAAATAAGGGGGGTCCAGGCTCCCCAGGCCCCTTCCCTGGAGCCGCCCCTGAATACATGTATTATTGTGTTGACCAGAGTAAGGAGGCTGTATTAAAATTTAAGACTTAAGCCTTCCTGATCATGCTCTTTTATACTCAAAAACTACATGTTTGATTTCGGTAGTGATATAAAAAGTAAGGATAAATTGAAGAAGTAGACCCTGGTTGTTCACACATTGGTAGCACTTTCTATTGGATAAATCACTATCCAGCAGGCGCTGTTTGTTCAAATGCTGGGTAGCACTATCCACCAGATAAATCACTATCCAGTGGATAAGTATTACAAGAACCAACTGCGATATCCACTGAGTAAAGATAAGAATCCAGTGGATAGTGTTATCTGCCTTTCCCACATGCAACTGGGCCCGCATAATTATTGCATTGTCTACTGGATAGATATTTATGCAGTCGATAGCATTATTCACTGTTCAAACAACTACAGGGGCCCTGGCCACAAGTGCATTTAAAAGAAATGAGATTATTTGAGGAATGTGACCATGTACATGTGGTGGATCACAAAGAGTTTTTGTTACTGTAAAATACACATTTTTTGAAGCTTTTATTGATTGTATAATACTTTAATGTCAGGTATATTTATCACTTTCTGCCAACTTATTTTTTTTTTGAAACATACAGCTACATGTCTAAAATTATGCAAAAGCTGGAGTGGAGACAGCTCACCCGATGCATTAAGAATACTGTAATCCATCTAACTCAACATGGTTTCTTTGTTCCTTTCAATTTATTGTTTAGGACACAGCCACAGGCAATGATTTTTGTGTATCACAATCCTGTTTAGTGGTAAGTAGAACAGTTATATAAACATTATGCCTGATTCACAGATAATAATATCATTTGGGGTAAAAAAAAAAAATCAAATCTTAACCAAAAAAAATTGAAGTCTGTATTAACCTAGTGTTTTCAATCTTCAGTGTTTAAAGCCATGTAATGTCAGAGAGGCACATGTTTTATCTTGTTCACTCATCTGTGTAAGTATTAAGACAGACTATATATAGATATTAAGCTCTACTGAGATAAGTCAGCAAGGTGCCTGCATACTCATGCCAGAGTGTGACAAAAGTAATGCTGCAGGGGCTAATGGCACAACCTGCTGGGGTGGCATTTGTTTTAATCCAAAGTTGTCCAACAGCGTGCATTGTTTGCCTTGATAAAGTAAATGTTTGTGAAAGTGGAGCTTTGAATTTGTAGGCCTACAATGTCACTACTGTTTAGCAACAACTTCCCCAAATAAATTAGGGCAAGCGATTTTTCAAATTTTCATCTTACATTGTGTATACAGCTGTAACTCCAAGTAAGAGTAAGGAAGACATTATAAGAAAAGACCCAAGTCATGTTATCAGAGGTTTATAAGTTATATAAGTGCTGGGTTTCATGTCCCTAAGAGCTAGCTGCCAACTAAGTTCACTCGCTGAAAAAGACCCTACCACTGGCTCAAATCGCTCTGGTGAACTTAAAAATTAATGTGGGGTAATCTTGAAGGTGCAGTTTAGTAATTTAAAAAAGCCAGCCTGACCAATTGAAAAGCCTGCTTGTCCTTAGCTACAACAATCCCTGATAGTGTGAGACAATTTTTGTTTGTGAAAAAATTGTAAAAAATGCATATAGTGTAATATTAGGCTTTAACGTACGCCTATATTCAAACTTTTTGTTTCCTTTCTTAGGGATTGTATAATATTTCTAATGTAACTAAAGGAATATGTGAAGATTCTTGTAAATTCCTTCAGAAAATACATCTTGAAGGTAAGAAAGTCCACAATGGCCAATAATAAATAAATTGACATTTTTGCTTAGTTACTAAGCTAAAAGAAAAAGTTAGGGGAAAAGACAGTATGTTATATTTTAATTTATTTACTTCACTCTTTAATTCTGGCTGTTAAAACTCTAAATGGACTTCATCTTACTTTTGCTTTGACATTTCCTACCCAATGTATCAAGTTGAGTGCTCTGTTTGGATGACTGTCTTTATCTCTGTTCTAACTTGTTAAAGTGGCCCGAAGACTTATATTTTTCTCATGGAATTGTGTAGTGATTTTCTCAGTCTAATTCTCTGTCAAGTTTTCCTTTGATATTTCCTGTCCAATATTTTAAACAGAGCAACTAGAAAATTCTCGTTCTGTAGTCTTCGTCTAAGTTTGCCAAGCACAAAAACATTGTGTGGCTACTAAAAGGAAATGTATCTATTCTATGCTTGTGTAGACTTTTAGACTGGAGACAAGAACTAGCTGAGACAAAATTGCTCAGCAATTCTAAAGTTGTGCCATCTTTTTTTTGACAGAGGGAAATTCAACATGCCCAGAAGGAGTTTCCAATTATAGTAAATGTAAGTTTTTAAAAACTCTAAGAATAATCGTTTTGTTTTAACTTTGAAACTGAGGTCTCCAGCTAGGGTAGAGCTGTTGATGGTTAATTCGCACAAACCCATGGCTACTAATAGTCACCACTTCAAACTTCAATACAACTGCTTCCAAAATCTTAGCCCTGCTCTGGCCCTAGCTTTCCAGCGGATATACATTGTAGATTGGTTTCTCAAATAGTCATCTGGACTGGAGAACCATAAACCCACCTTTAAAACATTACTTGATTTATATCTTATAACTGGGGTAATCCAGGGATGGACTTGCTAACTTTCCATAGGGAGAGAGGTGGGGATACTCATAGTACACTGTAAATGCTCAAATTAGAGCCTGCCTTCAAATAAGTGCCCCCATGAGGCCAAAAATATTAATTATGTACCCCAGTTCCCTCTCCAGGAAAGAAGTAATGTCAATTATTTGTATAGAGTAGAAATGGAAGCAGGATTTTACCGGATTTCACTTGCAAAGCTAAGTAAGAGGAGTAGCTTAGAGGAGACAGGACTTTGTGATCAAGCCACCGCAAACACACAGATTATGGATATGTTCTAGTTTACTATTAAGCAGAACCTCGATATAATAATGACCTCTATATAATGAAGTCCTCGGTACAGTGTATAACGAACGATTTTCTTAGCCTCATTAGTTAAGTAAAATGTAAGAAAAAGAACCTCAATGTAACTAAACCTTGTTATAACAAACAAATTTTGCCAAACCCTTGGCTCTTCATTATATCGAGGTTCTACTGTATTACAATTTCTATTTACTAGAACTAACCAAGACAATTCATGTTACTTTGTTACTGTCATAGCCACTGTGTTAATACATCTGAATAATGTCATTTTTATATTATTTAAGGTGTGTTAATGAAACCAGAAAATGTGCAAGTTGCTGCACCTGTAAGAAATAAAAGGTTAGAAAATTACACCATTAGCTGGAACGGAAAATGGCCATCTTCAACAGTATTTGTTGTTCTGGCAAAACAATGGAAGAAAGGATCATCAACAGATGCCAATACTGTGTGGATAGAGCTAATGCAGGTATGACAACTCAACTATACCCCAACCCCACTGAAAATATTAAAATGGATAGAACTGAAGCAGGTATGACTCCATCTACAAACCCCAAGGCTAATCTGAAAATATCATAAAATTCTTTCTGTTTGTTCTTTCAATATTATTCATTTAATGTGTCCACAGCAGGATTAGCTGAGTCGGTATAGCACTTGACTGCAGAGCAGGAGTTCATGAGTTCCATTCCTAGGGCTACACCAATATTCAGGGTCTTAAAATAATTGAGAAATAAAGAATGAAGGTGCTGCATTTTCTCTCCTTGTGTGGCTTGCATAACCACAGAAAATGAGGGCCCCATCTCTAGTAGAAGGTGTGAAAATGGTGTTCCCAATATAGTACTTTGTTGCCAAATACATTGACACTCAAATAAAGTGCATTTTTTCCTCAGGATATTCAAGTAATTATAAGAACCTGTCGTTCCACTCAGCTGAGTGTCTAAAAACTAAAACTAGGGCAGCTAATTAGTGTGTATAGAAACAAAGCATTATGGCAGTTAAGCTACAATTACATATAGTTAGAAAGTAGACATCTCTAAATCTGGATAACATAGTTATAAGAGTTCACTAAAAAAATCTTAATAATCACAAATTATTTATAATAATCTACATATTATTTTTTACTGCATAGACTACCTTGCAATCTGTCCAAGTGAACCTTCAACCACTGTTTTGGTACCAGTTCAAAGTTGCAGCATCTAATCAGTATGGAGCAAGCCCATTTAGTCTACCAAGTAGATTAATGTTCGCAAGACCACGGCCACCACTTCCTCCAAGAGCATTTAATGTGACAGAGATGCAAGTAGTCAAGGGAAGGGTACAAGTCCATGTGGTCTGGAAGAAACCTGTCAGCAGTTTTGGTAATTAAAGACTTAAGTAAAGTTACCCCGGTAACTCAAACTCTGAAGGCAAAGGGAAAATAGTGTGGGTTAGCAGGGGTTCAAGACAAGTTAGTTATCACTGAGGATTGATTGAATTTTCTATTTGCCACTTTAATTGACAGTTACTGATTTTTCAGCACTTCAGTGTATAGTACAGTGCAAATTTACTTTTTTTTATGAAAAACAATGACATCATTATGCATTAATTTTTTGTGATAAAACATGATCTGTTCATATTGCTTAAGTTAAAATCAAATTGCTGTATAAGGTTAGTTTTTGTGTGTTTTTTTGTATACAAAGAGCTAATGGGATGGCATCCAAGTGGGGTAACAAGAACCAGTGATATCTAAATCAAGGGAATGGAAATTTAGTTTGAGTTAATGGGGAATTCAAGTTATTTGAGGTTGAGTTAACTGAGTTGAAACGACTGAAAAGTGGGTTGAAATCCAAGGGAAATTGGACCTACAGTTGGAATTAGCAGGGAGTTCAATTTCAAGTTATCAAGGTTCTTCAACGTCACGAGTTAAACTCCTTTTGATCATGAGGAGGGATTTTGTGGATCATAACCCTTTAAGCCCCAATATCCGCATACAAATTCTCCAAACTGATCTCCATACATTTCCTTTAAGAATTAGTTGAGAGAATTTGATCTGCCAGCATTTTCTCTTTAGTGATCATTTCATAAATTCTCATAACCTAATCTCTCGACAAAGTATGAATATTGTTGGGAGAAAATTGATGTTGGTCACCATTGGGACTTAAAGGGTTAATTTATGGCCAACAGGGCTGTCAGAAAGTTGTGAAGTAAACGGCTGAGTTGTCAAAGTAAGCAACCAGTCCAGGGATATTTTATTAAAAAAATGCCATCCGTAAAGAAATGCCAAGCAGAGAGTAGCCAGCCGATACAAACAAAGTAGGTGGCAATTTTTGCCGGCAGCCTGCTACTTTTGACAACCCTGGGCTAAAAAGTCCTACGTACGTAATATGACACAGGCTTTTTTCTTTACAGGGCTCCCAGTAAGCGCATACCGTTTGTCTTGGAGCAGGAGACTTGATGATAAAACAAAAAAATATATGGCCCTCAAGGTGACAGATAAGCACACAATGGGAAACACCACTGATTACAGAATCAATGACCTGTTCCCTAATACAACATACCTTCTGGAACTCAGAGCAATGACAACGTGGAGGAGACGCAACCTAAAAAGTAAACGCGTCACTATTAGAATAAGAACACCAAGTGATAATGCCGGTAAGATATAGTCAAGCAGATAATTAACAATATGTCACAATCGCTAGGCTGTGGATATGACATGGTGGATACCCAGTGAGGCACACAGCACAGACTTGGCTCTAAACATCTCATATCCTATACCTGCCAAGTGTCATGATAGGTGTGAATGTCATGTCTGCGGATTGAAAACTTCCATCTTACGCCTACTCACGCCTGTGTTCCAATTTCTCAGTGCATGTAAACACTATTAATAATATTTTGAGGCCATTAATTATGGCTGCAGGCAGGAAGAATTTAGGATGGCAAAAAGTGAAACAGTGACCACAACATTTTACACAAAGTAAAGGTGGAACACTTGCTGAACAGCTGTCAAGAAATGGTTATGATTTCTGAGAATTTACTGGATTGGCTAAGGATGTTGAAAGTTGCAAAATTTTGCCATCCCACAACCAGCTAAAAAAAGGCCACTTTCAATCTGAGCGGGCTAGTTTTTATAGAAAAAAGGCTAGGCTAAGCTGAGAAAGTGAGAACCTAAAATTGCATTTAACATTCTATTGCCAAGGTATATCACCTACATTTACATCCTAGCTGTCTACTTTACAACATGTACACGAGGACCTGCACACAATGTTGCCGAAGTAAACAAAACATTAGATATTTTACTGCATGCAGCTGTAAATTTACTGCACAAAATACCCACACCACTTTCAGTTTCTTTTTAATAGTAATCTTATTTGTAAGAGTTACGTATTTACTATTAACTGCCAATCCCTTTTTTATCTCTATTTAACAGCTAAACTACATATACAGAACAAACCTCCAATAAAAAAGGTCAAATTTGGTGATATCTTTAAGAACACTTCAAAACCTCGTGTTGACCTCACCACGCATTCTTCATCTCCTCCTACAGATGGTAAGTGTACCTAGTAAGTTGCTAGGGTGTGGTCTTCCAGAGGGGCGGGTGGTACTCCACATTATGGCTTTTACAGAGAGGCCCACCAAAAAGGGGTACCATTGCTGTCAGAAATGGATATGAAAGGGTAAGGGGTTGCACCTCATGGCGGAGCCTCTCTATATACATGTATCACTTCTGCAATCCAAAATAATAAATAACATGCAAAAATTCATATAAACCAATACATAAATAAATACACTGTAAGCAAATGGAACATTCAAGTAAAAATAAGCACTCACTTTTTCCTCATCACGTTCCTTTAATATGACAGGTAAGTATTAACCAGCTCCCCAGTCTCCTTATTTTCTCCTATAGGTATAACCTTGCACTCCTCAGGTGTCTTGTTCACTTTTTTGTCTTTTGTGTAATGAAGGCACAGATAGCTCTAATTAAATGTGCCTTTTCTTTCCTTAGTGGTGACATCAAGTAATGAAGGTGTTTCTGCAGATGTCAAAAAACAAAGAAGCATTGGTCAAGTTAATACAGTTTCATGGTTTGCCTTAAGTACACTAATGATTCTAACTTATATGGTACCCTTTGGCCTGAGGTAGTAATTAAGGTACACACAAAAAAAGGATTAGGACCAAATTATAGAAAAAAAACTATTACCTTTATAGATAAATACCATTATTTTGTATTGACCCCTGAGTCTGTTCGCATTGTTGCGGATGCACCCCCCATACAACTAAAACATAGTATGTCCAGAAATGCATGTAATGGTAATTCTCGCCAAAAATCACCAGTTGGCTGGGGAAAATTTAAATGAGGTTACAAGAAGTGCTCCTTAGAAAGTGGAGAAGGTGATTAAAATGATGAATCTGGGTTTATACATGCTGGCTCTTAAAAAGGGCAGACCCTATTATACTGGATGCTTAAATACAATAATAATAATTGGACCCCACTAGCTTAGCTTGAACTTCCAACGAAAACAGGACAACTTAACAGTTGTTCCAATAAATTAAGCTTGTATGAAGGGACACCGGTACACTGTCTTAAAAGGACCTCATTAAATGTATTTAATAGGAGTACCTAGGGTTATATTTTTGGTCTTTAGAAGAGTCTTGGAAATTGTCAACAACCAGAATGTACACGTATTACCAAAACAAATACATCATTGCTCAAATTTTAGATTCTGCACTACTGAAGAGATCCTGCAATCATGTTACCATTAAAATGAAACTTCTTTTAATTAAAAATTGCTTTTGCATTTGTGTTGTGTACATGCAGGATTTGAAAAAAAAAATGAAAGTTTCACTTTTCTTGGATTTTGACTCTAGTCATAACTGGGAGTTAGAGATTTAATAAGGTCCTTATAATTACTCAACGGAATCCTGGTGATTCAATAAGTAATGAACAAACTAAAAATAGTTTGCATTGCAAGTTACTTTGGGTAGTTTTATTATCAAGTTGAAAGAGAAAAAAATAAGAATATTTTTGGCAGTTCTGGTAAATAGAAGTGCCCCATTTTTTAATGGGAATGAAACTTAAGTTAGAATTTTCTTTGTTGAACTGGAATTTCTCTAAATGCTAGAACTCAATCATCACACTTAACAATTTAAAAGAAAATTTTGTTAATGTGTTTTTCTATTGAATCAATGCTTCACTGTTTTGAAAATGATAACTGAAGATCCAGTTCAACTATGAAGTAATGAAGATGTCAATTCTTTTTCCAAAGCACAAAAAGAAAATAAAAAAAAAAACAGGGGTAAGAAAGAGTTCATATAAGGGTCACCTTGATGCTCTCATGTAGAATTAATGTTTTGTAAGAAATGTATAAATTATTATTGGATGTAGAAACAAAAATTTTTGATATATTTTTATTTAAAAGTGATAATATTTTAAGGTTTGGTAATATTTTTCCAAAGTTTCATAAATGTCTTGAGAGGAAAGTTGTGTTATTTAATCTGAAATATTAACTGTAATTTTATTTAATTTGTTCCTTCAACAACTCGCCGGGACTTGACCTTAACTAAGTAAGATTATAAGATTTTAACTAAAAGTTAATTTGAAGGAGCCTGAATGCACAATTAAATTGCTGCAAGCATTTCTTTCCAAAGCCCAAAACAAGATAACATAATGGCAAAGCAGCGTGGACATTATTTGACCTAAATTCTGGGACAGTTCCCTGGGCAGAAAGCAAAATTTAAATTTACACAGATCTATAGTTGAGATTAACTTGGTTTTTATTATAAAAATGTTGGTAATTTCTTAAATGTTGACTTGTAAAAATATCAGGCCAGGGCTTTTGATAGTGGATCTGATAACATAGTCCGTAACGAATCCCATTATTATAAAAAAACAAATAGTTAAAAATGTATAACTTGGAAAAATAAACTGTAATTAAATAAGGTGCTTATAAAAGGTACTTTTGCATTGGAAATGTGCAGACCCTATGAAATGAACCTTAAGCCTGGTTCTCACTAGCACATAAGCATAAGCATAAGGACATACCCACGCACAGAATGGCATATTCGACTCAATTCTTGATACCAGCTCTCCTCGACCCGATGATAAACAAGATGGCAAACAAAGCTTCCACCTTATTGCTTTTGATATGTTCTCATGAGGTGTGGGTCAAAGTAAGCTATGATTGGTCCACAGCCTTGTGCTTTTGCTTGTGCTTATGTCGACCCCATTTTTACTAGTCAAAGCTACAACATAAGCATGAGCACAACAAGAATCAACTTGTCTATTTTTCTTATGCTTATGTTTATGCCTATGTCGACCCAGTTTTCACTTGCTTACACATGTGCTTGTGCTTATGCTTATGCGCTGGTGAAAACCAGTGATGGTGTTCTATGATAAATTTGTTAAACAGAAATCACATTCTAAATGTTGTACAATTCAGTTTTATTTTTTTGCCTGCTTAATGTGATGTTCTGAACCCTGCGAGCAGAGTCTCCTTCAATCTTCCTTATCAGACTCTGTCTGCTCGCAGAGTAGACCTCCAGGGAAATTCCGCATAACTTCCCCATATTTTCACGCCCTATCAGAAGGCCTGGATGATTACATTATAATACCATTTTTTTTCATATTAAAAACCAGCAAAAGTGCATCTACTTACTGCTTATGGTCAACTTTGAGTGTTGGCCTAGAAAACTAAGGAGATACAAAATAATAAATTATTATCAATAAAGTCATTATTATTAATCTTTAAGGTAAAATTGCTGATCAGAATGCTCCTTTTCTAAGTGCTCCATCCAGAAATATTATTGTGTTATATTTCAGAATTGTAAGTGAATTGTAATGTTGTTACAGGTAAGCAACATACGTTTTGAAATAAAGATCTATTTTCAGTTAGGTATGGATTTTATTCCTGCTTCATTCTGCGGCCTTTCACTGTCCACCCCCCCCCCCCCCGCCTTCCCCCCCCGGGCCATTCCCTTGGATACCCACCCCCCCTTTTGATTGGGGAAGTTGACTTTTCCCCCCAGAAGAAAAGATCAAAAATACCCTCAAAGCCCCCCCCGAAAAAGCCCCATTTTTTACTATCACACAAAAACGTTCCAAATCCCCCCCCCCTCCCCCCGCCGGCCGATCCCTTGGTAAGCCTCCCCCTCTTTGGAGGGGGTAAATTTGTCATTCCCCCCAAAAAAAAAAAACAAAAATACCCTCACAACCCCCCCAAAAAAAGCCCTTTTTTTCCATTTCCCCAAAAAAAGTTCCAAAAAACAGAGGGACTGACACGGGCCCCCCCCCAAAAAACACATCCTTTGGGGGGGGGGGGGGGGGGGGGGGGGGGGGGGGGGTATTAAATGGAATGATACCCTCACAATTTCTAGCATGTATGCAATACTGTCTCTTCTCATAATCTGAATTGACTACAAGCCTTTCCCCCGCCCGTCTGCCCGCATCACTCGTAATTAAAAGAAGGCTAAGACATCCGTCTGATTGATCCGTACAACCCCAAACGTTTAAGCGTATTATGTGTGCAACAATTTCATACTATTTCACACAAATAGTTGACATAAATAAAGAAACATGCATAGTAATGTATGGGGCTGAACGGAAGTCTTATCAAAAGAAGAATTACTGAATGCAACCATTTCTTTATTTAGCCTACCCTACCAATAATATAGGGGACCCCTCCTCTAACTATGATCAAATCTTAGAAAGTTTAAAGGCTCTGCTCTGGGCTTTAACGTAAAAAAACCCTACACCCTACTTACTAGTTGTATCTGCTACCTTTGGTTTTAATACAAGTAGATCAGAAATAACAAAGGGAAAATTTACCGTGGAAAGTCAGCTTAAGCGAATTAAGCGAGCTTAAGCTTAAACATGGCGGGCTCAAAAAAGCAAATCCTTTCAAAGCAAATTTGTGCTTACCTGTTTGCTTTGTTAGGCGCTTTAATAGACGTATAGTCATCGATCTCAGACACGTCTATCTTTCAACTATTTCTAATGAATTCTCAAGGCAAATTCTGCAAATCTCAGTAAAAAGACTTCTTCACGCATTTCTCAAAATGCAGTCAATGCATGGCAAGGGAAAGGATGGAGCCAGGGGACTGGAAAGGCTTACTTTCTACGGTCACGTGATCTTCCTATGCCCCCTCGCGCACTCGCCGATTATATCGAAAACATCGGTGTTCAGGCTAAACATTTTTAGCCGTTTGAGCGCGATTCCAGCGAGTTTTAGTTCTGCCGTAGTTCTTGAAACGACGACAAATGCTAAGAACACACCGGCCATTAATTTTAAAAAAGGAGACAAGTTAAGAAATTCTGATGTTGTCTATGGTAGCTGACGGGTTGGAATGGCACATCTCAAGACTTCCGACTAACCTTGAATTTTATTCGCTCACACAAACGCAGCACAAATCTCAAAATAACTTAGAAAACTACGTTTAATAGTATTGTATTCCAAATACAAACTTCAAAAAGAGCAGTAAAAGCTATTTTACTAGCATTCATTACAAGAAGCAGAAGAAGTAAAATTAATCTCTCTTTACAAAAAAATCATCGACTTCGATAATTACTACTCTCGTTATGATTTCCTGTTTAATTATGGCCATCCCCTTTTTTTTTTGGTTTAGCGTCGAATGCGTTTCCTGATGTTGGGTCGGTCGGTCGGATTGAAAAAAAAAAAACTAAAAAAAAAATCACAAGAAGTCTCCGAATAGGAGGCCCCGGTAACCCAGGGTGACGTTAAAAGTTAACATTCACATATTAGGATTAACAAAATGCACAATATACTGTAAAAAACAATGTTCCTGTTTTTGTTCCTGTTTTCTCTATGCTGTTACTATGTTCATCTTTCAGATTAAAAGAACTACTTCAAGTGAAAAATGGTTTAACTATGTCGTTACTTTTTTTGAAAAAAAAAGGCCAAAAGTTTGGGTCGGTCGGCGGACGACGCTAAACGGAGAAAAAAGGAGGATAGCCTATGCCTTTTATAAAATTCATTAACAACAACATCGTTAGAAATAATTGTTACAAAGACTTTAAAACAACCCCATAAATAGCTATTCAACCTACAATACATTTCATTATTTAGCTTACTTTATTAAGGTTTACACAGCAATCAAACAATTTCAAACGAATTGAGCAGAATTCCTATTGGCTTCTCGAACCGTCCCGTTATAATGAAACAAGATCGAGTTTATTGTAATTTAACCGCCCTTTTTCTAACCTCCTGATAGTTTGAACCATTTTAAAAGCCCTTTTCACAGGTTGTTCGAAAAACCATGAATCCAGTACATTAGCAAATTTCCACAGAAGCCGTAACCATACGATAGTTGATTTGTAAACAACCGTTTCTCTTTTTCAAAAATAACTTTTCTTCTGGTGATCTTTGTCCGTCCTGAAACTCTTCTCTTTCTCCGCTTAATCTCAAAATAAACAAAAGATAATTTTATCTAATATTTAGCTACTTCCAAATTCAATAAAACAACAGCAAAGTAAAAACATGAATATAAAGCGATACATTACGGCCATTTATACGAGGAAAAATAAGACGCGTCTTACATAAGACGCGAACTTTCCGTATAAACGGTACATTTCGTCTAAAATAAGACGCGGCTTAGCTAAGACGCGTCTTATTAGATAAGACATGCTCGTATAAATGGTACAGTTCGCGTCTTATTTAAGACGCGTTTTATGTAAGACGTGTCTTATTTTTCCTCGTATAAGTGGCCCTATTGTAACACACCCTTCTCTTTCGTTTGTCTCCCTCGAGCGCCGCGCTCTTTCTTGCGCACATTACTTTTCATCTGCTGCCACGCACGCTATTAAAAGGTTGATATTGCAGCAAAACTTTCACACTTTCAAAATTGATGATAAACATTTTCAGGGAGCACTCACAATCCTTCATTACTTGCTTAGTCCCAAGGCCTCCTTATTACGCGTGGCCAAAGCGTTTCGGGTAACGTGGTCCAAGCGAATTGAGCGAGCGGGCCTGGGAAAACGCCGTACAGGGACTAGGCGGTTACTAGGTTAGCAGTCATTGTAAAACAGTTTGTGTGACCAAATAAGAAATAAAATCACATAAAAAACGTTATTTATGGGTATTTCAGGCGAGTTCATATAATCGGGAAGGATCGTTTTGATGTCCATCGAATCTGAAGTAAATTCTGCGGAGATCAAATTAAATCTTTGTGCCTGATAAGTCGAATACAAAATTCTTAAAAAAAGAGGAACAACAAAACTGACCGACAAATATGTCGAAAGCAGCTAAAGAGAGACTCGCCTGAAAAGCTAAATGTTAAAACAGTTTGCTTTGAAAACAACTGTGACCCAATTTTATAAATCGCTGGTCATATTTGTTTAGTTTAAAATAAAAACTCTGGCGTTTGCTGTAAAATTTGATTGGCACCAAGTTCTACAAGCAAATCTCATCATGGATCGGATGGAGACTCAATTCCGCCACCAGTCACCCCTCCCTGACTACTGGGAGATGGTGTCGGACGCTTGGAAGGTTTCCGAGATCGTTTCTTGGAATTTCGATTTGATCTTTTCCCCGATGGCTTTCTGTTTCTCTTTTTTAAATTGTCGGTCAGTGATTTACTTTGCCCTTCGTCGACTTCGGCCTTTCCCGATTCAGTTCTCTGGCCTTCCGATTCTGTTTTGATTGCTGTTTGGTTAACAGAAAGTTTGAGGCCCTCACCCAAGGAGCTAGTAGTCGTATTCATTATCAATTCTTTCCCAGACTTCTTGATGTTTTTTCTCAATTTTTTGTTCTTTTTGGAGTTATCCTTTTCTCCTTTTTTCCGTCGCTTCGTTGATTTTTTACTTGGTTGTTTGACCGTAGAATATTCTTTCGAAACAACGTTCTTTGTGCTTTGTTCGTTTGAGAGTGTCACCAATGACGTGGGAAATAACGTTGAAACAGTTGTCTCCGTAGAACTTGTTTCGCGCGTCGAATTATTCGCGCCCACAATCGGCGGATCATCGGCGCTTGTCGTCGACGTTACTACACTTTCCGAAGGTTTCTCGATATTTACTTGAGTTACTGTATCATGTTCAGACTCATTGCGCACGTTTTCATTGAATTCATTTGAACTGTTGGTGGGCAGTTTTGTTGCTTTGTCTGGAAAAACTGAACTGCCAGTTGGCGTCAAAGTTTTCGATTTTCTGGACGATTTCTTTTTAGATTTCTTAGACTTTTTCACCCCTTTCGGTTTTTCTTTCTTGCCATTTTTGTCCTTTTTTCTCCCTCCTTTTACAATAGGTTTTCCTCTACGGTTTTTGGTTCCCTTTCTAACTTTTGACTCTGTCTTTGCTGTAGGAGCTGAAGTTGTAAACTGTGAATCATTCCGCGATAAGTTCGTTGATGTCGAAGTGGCATCGGTTAGTTTCGGAGTAATGGCGATAACTTCTGAAGGCTTTCCAGTATCTTCTGATGTAGAAGGGCTCGCTGAGCTTGGCGTAGTTGTTTTGACGATAACAGTTGGCTTGGGAGGTATTGGCTTCTGTTCTTCAGCTTCCGTGGGCGCGACAGTATTCACAGAAGAAACACTTGTCGCAGACTCTGTAGCTTTCGAAGTAACAATGTAAGTCACTACTCTTGCATCATCACGAGTATAACTTCCAGAGCCTTCCAGTCGCTTTTGAACTGTCCCTGTTGCCATTGTTTCTCCAACCTCTTTTTCTGTTGGTGCCAATGTTGTCATAGGCGAAGCCTTTGAAGATTCTGCAGTTTCCGCGCTTTCAGTAGTATTCTCGATTCCTTCTGAAAGATTTCGACGTTCTTCCGAAGCACTACTAGAATGCAAAGGTGTAGATGAAAGTTCAGCAGATGTCCCAGTTGTTGACGGCATTGTGGTAGTAGTAATGCCGCCCAAGACAGCAATACTTCTATTATTATAAACACCAGATTCGCTGTCTGTTATCATAGTTGTGATTTCTGCTTGTGTTTCTTTCGATGTACTCATCAACCTAGGGGTTGTTAATGGCACGGAAGTGGCATTAATTTGGGCATATTTCTTCCCATGGTAATGGTTGCATTGATGCCCTCCTCTACATGCTCTCATTCTGTTAAGCTGTTCATGAAGTTGGGAAAGAACAGCGGGGCTCACTTTATCAATGACATTATACAGCTGTAAGTTAAAAGCAGTAAAAACGATGAGTGTTCGATAAAAAATAAATAAATAATTCCTAAAACGATACTGGGGAACCTATATACCACCTTCGAATAGTACTCAGACATGCCTTGTGGCATGATCACAGTCACCCTTTTTCAATGCGATTGTTCAGATCTTAGAGAGACCCTAGTCTGTTCCAAGCTCCATAATAGTTATGGGTAGAGATCGTGACTGAAATGATGCGAACTGAGCTGGGGTCTGGGGACAGAGAGATCATACACTACTTATTTTCGCTTGGCTTTTTTTCGCGACCTCCCCACTATCTGAGAGTCTGACACAGTAGGCTAGAGAGATCCTAACCTTATCACCTTTAATTCTGCTCCACGCGGGTTATAACACTCGCCTCAGATTTCTATCAACATGTTAAATTAAGATGGCGTCCTCTCGAACTCAGCTGTCGATCTGGAGATGCGCATGGAAAATACGGGACTGTTAACGGTCAACACGCCTTGGGATTCGACTGGATGACCAAATGACCAGAGTCTTACAGACTGATAGGTCTAATGGAGAGACTTATGGACCACGCGATATTATCACACAATCAGATATCAAAGCAAATCATGACTTGCACTTACGCGTTGCACGTTTTCGCGTGCTCGACTACACTTGTACGTTTTGATGTTTCATTGGATTATCTGCTCGTGTTGTCATTTGCCTATTGTAAGCACTTCATCGACTCTGGTTTTGGTCATCCTATACAGGATATCCATCCTATACATGGATAGTGAGATGGTTTACTTACCTGATATGGGTCTTGATTGAGGTCAAAGAATTCGAGAAAGTGAGTAATAAACTCACAGTAGAGAAAATTGTGGGTGGAATTTATTGTTCGCAGGCACCAGTACGAGTTGTTTGCAGCGTTGGGACAGAAGCAAAAGTCTCCTCCTGCAGGAACAAGTAAGAGAAACGGAGAAATGTCATGGTATTTTGGTATCTAACACGCGAGGAAAGGAAATGATTCCAGTCAGGTGAAATATATAAACTAGTTGCGAAACGAACCAACTGAATACCTGACCCAGCTCCCCACCGTTTAGCACAACTGGCAATCAAAAATATAAGCACATTAAGTAGAATGTCTGACTGTTGGACTGCAGATTGACTGAATGGCTAACTGACTGACTAAATGACTGAATGACTAGTCTCGCCGACTGATGAATTGACTGAGTGACTGATTGACTGAACCAGTGAAGGTACCCAGTAGTGTGTGATCGAGTGGGCGACTTACAGACTGTCTGAAGGACTGACTGCCAAAATGACTGACTGGAGTGTTACAGATTGATAGATTGAATGGATAGCCTGCGACTGAAGAAGCGAATGACTACGCTGACTGTCTGATCGACTGGGCAACTGTGGGGGTGTCTGGCTGACTGACTGATCTAAAGACTGCCCTTCCCACACTGATGACTGTTTGAGTGAGTGACTAACGGTTTCAAAAAATGATTAACATACTAAGTGACCGATAAAAAGGTTTGAGGGACTGACTGATAAAGACCAACCGACTAGGCAACCAGATGATTGCCTGCCTCACTAACCAACTGACCGATTGAAAGAGTGTCTAACCGACTAGGCTACAAAATAACTTCCAGACTGACCGTCTGAATAACTGCCGGCCTGTCTGACTGTCTGACTGTCTGACCTCTGTTTTCGTCCGTCCACACATAAACGAGAATCCAGACTTTTAAAAAATCTCCACTATGAAGAATGGTTTTGAAAAGATGCGTTTTTGGTAACCGTTTTCACGGGATATGTGTGGACGATAGACCAAACTGGAGGATATGTGTGGACGGGCCTAATTGTTGATTTGTTGTTGATTTGTTAGTTGAGTGACTAACTGACTATAACATTACTCAGGTACCTGTCCACAGCGGTGGAAACTTCCAATGATCATTTGTTTGATAAAAGCAGTTCAATCCAGGGCTGCTACAGAAAGTACGTCTAAGACTTGTCTTCACTTTTTTTCTCTTCTTCGTTTTCTGTTTTACTTCCGCTTTGCGTGACGTTGCTTTGGGTAGTCGTTTTAATGGTGATATCTGCGACTCTAGAAAAAAGTGGTTGAAAAAGTTGTTCTCTTTAATGTTCATCAGAATTACCAGGGTCGAATAAAATATATATCAGAATGTAATCTGTTTGGATCACTGCTACATTTACTTGAGATTCCAGACCTAAATGTAAGTTTTTGCGGGCTGCTCATCCAGACCTAGCTTGAGATAAAGAGGCCATTTTTCTATTTTTCTTTCTCGGTAGAGTACGTATCGGTCTCTTTCACAAATCAGTCCTATGACTAGCTGAGTTGGCCAAACGAATCATGATTCTGGGGACGAAAATGGTTCAAAAATTTCCAAAAAAGTCGCTATGTAGGCCCTCTAGGAATTGATACCATCAAATAGGAAATTGGTTAGTGAAAGTGAATCATCAGCAGCTTAGTATAAACATTACTCACCTTGAGGATCATTATCGTCATTATCATCATTATTTTCTTCATCATCATTATCACCGTCATTATCATCATCAAAATCTCCATCACTATCCCCTTCTCCACTGTGAACGCTGGCCTCGGTAACCCTCTCAGGTTTAGTGCTGTTGCCAGGGTTACAAGGACAAGCATACTCGACCATTCGATCGCGGGCGCTTATCATTAGAAGTTTTTTTCTCCTGTCGCGTAAAGCCCCCAGTCGCATTCTAACTTCCCAAATTTTCTCTTTTAGCTTTCCAAGTTTTGCTTCGACGACTTCTTGTACGCCAGGGCCCATAAGGGAATCGTTTGCGTTCGATTTTGTACCTGTTGATAAACAGTCTTAGTTATAAGACCGTGTTTTTCGTTTTTAAGAAATAAGCCAGGATGGAATGTAATTCGCAATAAACGACAACAACAGCAACACTGGCCCCTAAGGATGTCGTTATCTTTTTTTTTTATACAAAGTAAACAGTACACCGGGAACATGTAGTAGGAGATCTTTCATCTAGTATGCCTCATATTTACATGAGAAAGTTAGCACCTCCTAGAACCGCAACATACTTTCACAAGAAAGTACTGTTATCTACCACAGTAGCTTTCGTTTGAATATTAAGAATTTCAACTAAAGACCAAAAGCGTATCACCCTAACTTGAACAACATGATAAACAGTACAACAGGTAAGTACTACTCAGTAGCTTTCATATGGATAATTTCACTTTAATTAGGACTTCAATACAGACTCAAAAGTTAGAACCACCTTGAAAAGCATGAAAAACTGTACCACAGGAAAGTTAGAACTAACTTCTACATTAAAATGAACAGTACGACAGGAAAGTACTCCTAAGTGCTGTTATGAGGAAGTCGTAAGCTAAATATATGAGACCAAGGCATTCGCCACTCGATAAACTATAAGGGATGTTCGGGCACAACTTTAGTGAGAACGATTTCCGGGATCGTTTGGGTGGACAAAAATGCACTGAACGATTGTCTGAACTTGCCTGTGATTGGAGTTCTGTGGAGCATTTTTTGCCTGGCGCGACGATTTTGAAGTCTTTGTGCTCTCGCCAGCTCCTTGTAGTATCTCCGTGCATTAAATTCACTTCTACTCCTCCGTGGCCTGTTGCTAACATAGGAATAACGAGATCTTTTTGATCGCCGTCTGAGCTGCTTTGTTAACAAGTAATCCAGTTCATTTCTAAGCAGTTCATCTGCAGTAAGAGAGAAAGACAGGAGAATACAGTGGGACCTCAATATATAACGAACCTCTATATAGCGAAGTACTCGGTATAACGAACGATACTGTTCGCCCCAGTAATAGCAGAATATTTGCTATACGAAGTTTAGCATAAATTTGTCTTCTGTGCGTTTTGGAATCCGTTAATTATTAGCTGTCGTAACAGGATGGGTGTCACTTAGTTATTCTATACAGGCTCCAGCGTTGAATTTTCCGACGACCGTCCCCCTCACTTTTATTTGGGAGTCCCCCCTCCCTCCCAGAGGAGTGATTTGTTCTTAGTTCTTTCTCTCGGTGTGTAGCGAAACCTCGTCATAACGAACAGATTTTTCCAATCCAGTGGTCTTTCGTTATATCGAGGTTCCAAGGTTGTATCAGTTGCATTATTGCTTATGTAGAGTCATGGCTGTCAGCTCACAGTTTATTGTTGATACGCTGTAAATGCCGCGCATTTAGCAGTTTATGTCAAGCAACGTTGCATTTAAGGCGATCTGTAAAAGCGGGCGCTTTGTGAGCTTAACAGTATAGGCCGATATTTAGCTGTCTACCGATGCCCAAAATTCTCAGGCAGACGAGCAGCATTCCAAAGAAGTTTACATTATCAACAAATCAACTGTGAAATTCTCTGGCGAAAAGATTTGGATTGTTACTAGGGGGACACTCCACCCTCCCTTCCCTAACAAAGAGGCTCAAGTGTGGGTTAACTCAAAACTTTTGAAAAGCGCGCGACGGGCTGTTTTAGCGCTATGAGGGCGCGTCCTTGCCATCCTTGTAAATATAACAAATCTGTAAGAAACGAGAAGGGGATTGGAGGCGAAATGTCTGGCAATGGTTTCTGGGATCGAAACTGGGGACATGCCGGTCAGCTATTAGTCAATTTTTTCCCCTGTCCCTAGTAACAGTCCCACTCAACGCAGATTTCTTCTCATTTCTATAGTGGCGAATTGATTCCGAATAAAAATAATGACTAATTTCTGGCGCGGGCCTGAAATGGCATCTTATGACAAAAAGGAAACGCATATTTCCAAACTACCAAAACTAAAAAAAAAAAACTGCTGATTGGGCAACGAAAAGTGTCTATTTTACTCATAAGCTGATTGCAGTTGAACCGAATCGTTGAAAAGCAAAAAAATGAACATAATCACGAAAGAAGCAAGAATATAACCCAGGAATACATCATCTAGGCCTCATTTGCAGCGCACTTCCCTCTTCAGCTCGGCCATAATCGACAGTGAAGTGGTAGCCTACGTGGTAGGCGTTAAAAGGGGAAGGGGAAGGGGGAATTTGGGCGTGCGAGAGCCGTCTCTCGCCCTAATTCCCTTCCAGCTTCCCTTTTGAACGCCTGCCACGCAGGCTAGTGAAGTGGATGAGGTGCAAATGGACCCAGGAACAAGGATGGTATCATTTCACTGAAATTACACGACGTTTTCTCACTGTTATAAGGAGACATGTCCCCTTGAGATCCTGGCCTCGGTTTCATACATACACACATCTTGACAGGGGAGGTGGGAGCTGACGATGGTGTGGGTCGGGTCGTTGGGGTCGTCGTTGCTTGTATCGAGCCAGATTTTCTACATTTCCTCAGTCTAGGTCTGTCACCCACTGTCACGCATTCCCACAGCTGCCTGGGTTTGCAAGGCGATTGGTGTTTAGGACTGTTGCAGATATTTTCTAGAAGTTTCGTCTTACGCTCTTTGGTTGTCTCAGTCTTGTTAAGGGACTTTTCTTCAGACTTTGACTTGCTGGGCAAACCACTATTCATCATGCTTTTTGTTCTTCTCCAGCTAAAATGACACATTGCCAACATTTCTACATGCGCAAATAAAGGAATCAGTGTTCTAATAAATCCCCGCACCGGGAAAATGTTTACTAGTCGCTCGTGTCAGCGCGTGGTTACTGTGACGCCTTTATCGTGTACGCGTGGGAAAGCGCTTGCTGAGCGAGTCATGCACGTAAACGCGTTTTTCACTCGTTGCTCATTGTCCGTCCCCGCGCATCACAAAAGTCCCCGCTTTTTGGGGTAACAATGACAGTTCGGACACCATTTCATTGAGATTGAGCTGCTCAAATCAAGGAGCGTTACTTTAAACCTGTCACATAAGGTTGCTTTCACACCGGCTCGATCGAAAAAGTTCTCTAACAGGAATTTTTCAATACTTTTTAAAAACAATTTGTAATACATGTTTCAATGTGCGTCACAAGATCGTGAGTTAGAAATAATTTTAAAAACTGTATAAATTTATACCAGTCTGGAGAAGCTTGAATAACAAACTAAGTAAAGATTACTTGCAAAATTTTTAGGTAATTTTAATTAAAAAAAAAAAAAAGAAAGAAGAAAAGAAGGTAGATAAAAACAAAGGGTTTTTAAGGATGTACACGCCTTACCCACGTGACCTCTCAATGAGGATGGTGTCCCTCCAAACCACGTGCATACGCCTGAAAAAGAGAAAAAACAAAACATTAACAATATCCTTTAAAGAATCTATAGGAAGAGTGCCATTTACGGTTGCAGAGTCTTTCTCGCTGCTGACACAGTTGTCACTTTCTTCCTGCGTCAATCAATTACTGTTTTAAAAACAACCTTTCGATAATTTGTCTCCCATCTATTCCACATATAGTGTCTCTAGTATTAGGGAGAATATACAGTAATTGTGTTGCACTGGTCTTTGTATTTTCTTTGATTATTTTATGCAGTATTTTGAATATGCCTAAAGAAGCTCCCTCGCACCTAGAGAAAACAGCACCTCGACAGGCATTTTAAGATCACGAGCTTCGTGCAACAAGTCCTTGGATTAAGAATTTTTTGGTTTTTCCTCGTTCTTCTCTCTTCGTTATTTCAAGACTTCTTTAAAAAAGCACCAAAGGAGATCGTTCTGAACACAGGGAATAGTTGCATGAAAAGAAAATTATGCGCTTTTATACCTCTTCGATCGTCTTCCTTCTTTTTTCCTTCTGAAAAGTTTCATAATAGAAGTACCGTCCATGTCTTTTGGAACCGTCACGCCGGCAATGTCCAGAAATGTTGGTGCTATGTCGATATTCAACACCATCTCTTTCATCCTTCAAGAAAAATATACTGTTTAATTAAAGAACCACCTTGCTTATCAAACGTAAGCACATACAGGTGATTAAGTAAAAACCCAAACATTAGAACATGCATTTTTCTACGTTGGTCTAAAAAAATTCTTCAATTATTTATTTATTTTTTTAAAGAAAAAGTGTTTTGGTCTGTTGTGGATATGAAGTATACAGATAATCATGTCTAAATGGCTAAAAAAAATGTCTAAATGGCTGTAATCTAAAGGAATCCAACCCCTGTTATAATTCTAAGTTTGCATGTGTAGAGTGTGCTGTGTTTCATTTTGGAATTCCAAGTTTTAACTTAATTCTAAGTAACTAGGGTATCTAAAAGATAGTAATGCTGCGGCACATTCTGTTGATACTGGCATTAGTTAGGCAGTGAGACTTAAAAGAATCAAAAATGACATGGAATGTCCTATTTACATGTTGGAAAGTACTAGAATAATTACTATCAGTCTATAGAAAGAACTCGTTGGAACGTTGTTTAGAAAATGATCAAGTGGTTATCAACTCTGGTTTTCCCACAGTAAATGTAGGAAATAATAGAAATTCAGATCGAAATAGGTATATAAATTATATGCCACGTGCTATAAAAGAGACCTTTGTGTTATGAAAAGAACGACAAACAACGTGAAATAATTCATTGTCAATAAATCGATATAATTTATAGAAAACAACAACACAAAAAGCGGGAAAAAAAAGAAAGAAGGAATAAATAACTCAGCAGGATTCGGACCCGGCACCTTCGACTCTACGCGACTACAGTTAACCACTACACCACAGAAACTGACTACGTAATCACTGGGAAAACTCTTTCATTTTATTCCTTTTCCATTAGTCCAGCTGTTATCGACCAAAAAAAGCTCGAATTGTTCAAATTAGTGATACAAGCATGAAACTTTCACAGATTACTAAGGGCCCTAAGGGTAATATTTTCTGATGTAGGGTCAAGGAAAGTCCATACTTGTATTTATATTTCTCTATATCGGTCTAAAGAATGAGGAAACCTGCCAAATTGATAAGTCTTCAAGTTTCAGTTCATTGCAAGATGGCTTTTACAGTTATGCACAGTGTGTGTTAGGAGTTGCGTTTTACATTTTTGACAAAATACGTAAGCAAAAAACCGAATCCCCTGCACTTATGCTCCACAAAACATTGAAAAATCGTGTAAACAAAATTTCACCCCAGGGTACCCAAGCCTGATAAAAAAAACGTTATAACTGGTCACGTGACTGCAAAGTTTATCAAAATTTCCAACAAATTATTAGTTTTGTCATAACTGATGGTTACTTTCCTAAAACTCTTTCATTTAAGGCGTTTTTCATTTTTAGCCTCGTTTCCATGCTAGCGAAATCGGGGCATGCGTAGATCTGGACTCCAGAGCTTAATTTGGCTTGGCCCTACATCATAAAATATTACCCTTAGGGCCCTTAGTAATCTGTGAAAGTTTCATGCTTGTATCACTAATTTGAACAATTTTGGTCGATAACAGCTGGACTACATGAAACTTCCGCCGGCAAGATGATCGCCAGCCGCATTAACCGAGCTATTAACAGTGAAAAAACAATGTAAACGCATATTCCATGGCAATAAATGAATAAAAGAACATAATTATGCTTTTCAAAACGTCGATACACGTCCTCGTCTGCAACGTAGGACACAAAACATATGTTTTGTTATCTCGATCTCCGCAGTTATTTTGAAGCGAATATAATGGTCAAAATCACATCCATTTTCGGCTCATACAGTTTCTTAAGAATAGCATTGCATGACATTTTCTCACTTTCACATCACCTTCTAGCAAGCTGGGATTTGTATATCCCCCGTGTTGCGGAGTCGAAGAGCAAAAAAGGCTCTTGAATTGAAATCCAATCCCCAAGTAAACCATCGTACTCATCTGAAAGACTCCTGCGTGTCTTAAAATTTGGTAAGACCTCTAACCTTGCTGTAGAAAATTTGCCACAAAGAAAACTCTAAGTCTGAGCAGCAAATGATGCACTCTCACCCACCGAACTTTCGTTTTTATTTGAGTTGTTCGTGGCGCAATGTACTCTGGTTAAATGCAATGCATTGTGGTAAAAAGTGATGAATTCGAGAATTCGTCGCCCCTTATATATTTCTTTTAAATCCTGATTATGTTGCTGCTCGCTCCCTTCGGTCGCTCCGCAGCAAAAAGTTACATAAATCATTCTTTTCTATAATCATGGCAATCGTATAGATCACTTAATATGCGGTACGATTTCGTCATTAATTTAATTATGTATTAAAATTTGGTTGTGAAGGCTTTCACACAAAACATGTGTCAGCGATTCTAAGCCAGTTGCCACGACGTTAGTACAGATGTATGAAAAATGATTTGAAATCATTTTTAGATCGCGATTGGTTCGTTGTTTCAACCACGGCGTAAGAAGCTACCCTAGCTTCTTACGCCCTGGTTTCAACCAATAAACACATTATCCGGTTTTCGACAACGGATCAGTTTTAGGTCTGGAAAATCCAAACGGTCTGAGATAGAATATACTCTACCTCTCAGCAAATAATAAAGTCAATTCTCTATAACGTAAAAACCGTGTAGCTGTATATTGGATCGTCAACGATCGACCTCAACGATGTGACTACCGGATGTCGTCGCAAATTTCCTGTTTGCATTTGTTGAAGGCATTCATATTACTACAGTCTCCCGGTTCAAACGTTATGGGCTTTACAAGCCTTATAACTGAAGAATTACCTTAAAGTCAGGGCAAATCATTTTGGGCACTAAATATGAACTCTTGTTGAAAAACGAAAGACTCTTCGCAACTCAACTTTCCTCGGACTAAATTTGATTTGCAATTTAATACAACAATAATTGTTTTGATACATAGATTTTAAATGATATTACTGTTTTTTAACCAAACAGTTCTGTCGGCAAACAGTTTGACAAACGAAGCGATGCGTTCATATACTGCACAGCGAACGTCAAAACTTTACATGATTATAATTCAAAGGAATATAGTAATTATAACCCTAACCCTAACCCTAACCCTAACCCTGTCAACAACAACAGTCCTATTCAGGACTACGTTCACCCGGACAATCAAACTCAACCTACTTTTGAAATGACTCTTGGGTTCAAACCTTTCACAGTAATTATAATGTTTTTTCTTTTGTCGCTCGGCATTGCTTAAAGTTTTTTTTTTTTTGACGATCGTGGGGCCAATTTATTGCGGCTAGCAAAAACTTTAAAACACTAAAAACGATAAAAAGCTAAGATACAGAATTATGAGAATCGAACTTTAAGTCTAACCCTTAGCCTAAGTAACAATAATAATAATAATAATAATAATAATTCTCACCCACCGAACTTCCCCGTGTTTTTATTTGAGTTGTTCGTGGCGCAATGCACTCTGGTTAAATGCAATGCATTGTGGTAAAAAGTGTGGTTAAATGCAATGCATTGTGGTAAAAAGTGATGAATTCAAGAATTCGTCGCCCCTTATATATTTCTTTTAAATCCTGATTATGTTGCTGCTCGCTCCCTTCGGTCGCTCCGCAGCAATAAGAACCCATAATTTCAGTTTCTTGCCAGGTTCCAAAACATAATGTTTTTATATGTGGGTTTTAGTAACTATGTACCCCTAATTTCACTCCAGGCCCTTACCTGATATTTTTAGGAATAGTCGGCCCTCTAACATAAAATGGCACCCGAATATCGCTTTCAAATGGCATAGACTTGCCTTTGACCAAACCAAACTGCCCGAGATGATAACCATGGTCTGAGGAAAGGAAAATGTAAGTCTCATTTTCAACTCCCAGTGACTGCAAAGTGTTGAAGATTCGCGCTACGGAGTCATCAACAGATAGAAGCGTTTGAAGGCGCCGACGGTGTAAGAGGTCAACAAATGCAGTTTTCTGCGCATCCATAGGCTTCTTTTGTCTTAAGATCCACTGTTTGTCAAGGGAAATAAAATTCCAGTTAGGGTACCTGCAAGAGAAAGAAGGTAAAGATATGGACACTGAAATGAGAAGTGTGCCAGAGAACTTCCGTATACCCTATCTGTAACAAAAGAATTCAGGAAATGTTGGCTCGACCAGGGTAACTTACGATCAGGCTGTCCTTCTTCCCTTTTTGTTTGGGGGACGAGGGGAAAAGGCCGCGTTCTTCTTTTTTTCCCTTTCCCCGAAAAAATTTGTACAAAAAAAGGCCTGATCGTAGGTTAGCCCAAGGTAGCTCCTACTACCCGGGAAAAGCTTTCTCCATAGCAAACGGAGCCTTAAACTCGCGTCCCTTTTCAATCTGCGGTCATACCTTGGAGCTTGGGCATCGGGAAACGCCGTGCTATACTGTGGTGCTGGTGTTTCGGGACCATGAGGTGCCGCGTGACTTATGACCGCCAGAAATGGACTCTCTGGTCTGGTGGCTCTTGTGCGTTTTATGAACGAAATACTGCGATTGGTGATGAAATCTGTGAAATAATCTTCTTCATAGCTCATCTTGCGCCGTTCCTTGTATGTGTTATGTCTGATGACGTAGTTGTAAAACTTTGAGTTAAACTGTAATCCCTCCCATCTTTTCCAACCGACTGGGACCCAGCTTCCATCGTACTCGTTCAGATATTTTCCAAAGTGACCTGGAAAAGAGGAACCGAGTGAAAATGTAAAGATTTCTTGAAAAAAATGAGAACGACACTAAAAAGGTTTGGAGGGTCCAAATTTTGAATGAAGTTGGTGAGAAAATGGGTTAGTTTTCAAGATCACAAGAACGAAAGTACACAAAATTTCCTGGCACCAAAATATGATATTAAGCAGTATTCTGACCTACTTAAGAATAATTTGAGTGATTTCTAACGTTTTTATTAAATAATCTATCACGGCTATTGAAATTTTGAGGTTTTAAATATATTTCCGTTTTAGTCGAATTTTTTACTTCTTACGGAGATTGTTTGCTAAACACCAAACTTTAAGTTCCTAGTGTTGGAGTTTCAGTAGCTGGTCTGGATCACACAAAAATCGGCTTTTATCAATTTCAAAGTTTTTTGTTTACTGTTGTCATAGTAATATCGATTTTACATAAAACTACATTTTCACAAATTTCAATCCATAGCCAATTAATGGTGAAAATTTTATAGCGATCAGACAAGGAAAAAACCACTTTTAAGGCGATTGAAAAATATCGGTATGGCCTTTGAAAAAAACTGTATCGAAACAACTTAATTCGAATTAGGTTCGACTCATGAAAAGTTCGGCGTCTGAACCGGGCCTAAAAATAAAAATGTAAATATTTTCCCTGAATTGCAACCGCCCGTTATCCGCTTAATTCTGTTATTTTTCCATTAGAGGGCGCCGGGTGGCGCACTATAAAAAGTCAGGACATACCATTTGTCAGTGACCGCGTTATAAACATTTAATCCAATTCTGAACTGGACGCAGAAAATTGGCAATTTTCTTGGCCGAGGGTAAAGTAAGTGTAAGAATGTACAAAACCTTAGCCTGCCGTGCATATGTTTTCTGAGCACGCGCGGGCAGTAGTTCCCATTGAACGATCAGAATCAAAGAACACGCTTTAACCTCTTCACTGCAGCCAAAATAAGCCAACGTCAAAATTCAACAAAATCTCGCTGTGTCATTTTGTTAAATGTTATAAACAGTTAGTAACATGTGAAAGTACTGCCGAAGAGGTTTTATTTGAAAGATCAAATCACAGGATTTTACCAACACACTTAACTAAAAGTTAGAACAACCCTTCATAGGTTATATCATTATGAGTCTCGCAGTGAGTGGGGGGATGGGGGGGGGGGGGGGGGGTTTAAAAAAAACCGGCCCGGGAAGGAAAAACCCCCTATAAAAAACCCGGGGTTTTTTAAGTTTTCCCAAAAAGGGTTTTTTAAAAAAGGGCATTTGCCCAAAATTTGGCTTTTTAGTTTTTCTTGCGGAAAAAAAACATTTTAAGAAAAGGGAATAAGTGATGTTTTACTTTAATTGTAGTTTGTTGTTAGTCTGAAAATAAAAATAAAAACAGACAAAAAAAGGATGAAACTGAACAAAAAATTTATAATAAAAAAAAAAAAAAACAAAATTTACAAAAAAAAAAATAAAAAGATGAAGACCACTTGCTGAGGGTGTTTAGGGGGGGGTGGGGGGGGGGGGGGGGGGGGGGGGGGGGGGGGGGGGGGGCGGTTACAACAAACCAGGCCCGTACAGTAAAAACCCTCTATAAAGAACCTGCGTTTTGTCAAGTTATCCTAAACAGGTTCTTATATAAATGGTCATTAGCCCAAATTTAGGCTATTTAGGTTTTCTGCAGGAAAAAATACATTGTAGCTAAGAGTATTAAGTGATGTTCAGCTTAATCCTTATATAAAATCTGTATACTATTCCATTGCAGTTGGAGTAATAAGGCACCTACGTCTCCAAAGAGGAACCTGAATGTTGACTTAATATCTTATTTGCATTGAGTGTACAGAACGGTTTTTCATAGATTTTGGAAAATAATTTCCTGCTCCAAATTTTAATTAGCTTCTTGTATAGAGAGGCCCTAACTGGTAAATTTTAGCCTAATAGGTCATTCTTAAACACCAAGTTCTTTATCGCTGGTCTTTACTGTAACCCATACTCGTCTGGTTGATGAACGACCAAATTGGCGAATCTTTGCTGACGTCATTATTCATATTTTTTCATACGAACTAAATTCACAAGTTAAAAGGGCTGATTAACTTGAGCAATTTGTGAAATTTTCAGATCTTTGCTTGCAAATTATTGAAGGAAATATCAGCCAGCTATCAAACACTGGGAAATTGCTGAGTGGCAAAAACGTTAATGAACCATACATTCTTTGTAAAATTTGGAGAATTTCTCCAAAAGTTTCAAAAGATCACTGTATATAATCGGCTGTTGAATAACCTCTGCCTGAGAACTGCGAACGATAAACGTAATTGGCTTTTTTTCAGATTTTCAGGGTGATTAATTGTCACTTCCCTTGATTACGACGATTCCATTTTTTTGTTCTGGATATAGAAGAGCGAGCTATATACTGGCTAGTCTCCCGCAGTCGTTTCTGTCTCGTCACGCAACGCTCCCTCCTATAAAGGCACCACAGACTAAACTAAAGCGTTTGATTTTACATTTGTGTTTTGCCCTCACAATCCAGAACTCAGATCTGTAATTTTTCCCTTTTTCTCTTCTTTTTGCCCAGTTTTATCCTTGCGTATTTCTCTAGCTCTAAAGTGAACCTCGAAAAACACCCGAGGAACCTTCCCTGGTATCTGTTTAATCAGTAGAGGTGTCCGCTAAATACTGGGTCGCATTGCTTAAAATATGGAAAGAAACGTTTGAAACACACTGAGCTACTACTCGTCCACCTAATACGGGGTGTCTGCTTAATATGGGGTTCGATCGATGTAGGTTTCACTGTCCTATCAGTGGGGAAATTTGAATAAAGAGACCACCCTTTGTCTTTACACTTCCCTTATTCATTTCAGAATTACGAACGTGAAAAGACTGCATAGATGTTTCCAGTCTTTTGCTTGTTTACAAAGTTTTTTTTTTCTGGAAGACACTCGAAACTAAATAGTTTGACGTGGACAGCTAATTACTAATCCAATCAGGAAAGGGCTTACTCTAACAGTGACTTGAACCTAGCGGATCTCATGGAACCCATATTAATTAAGAGGACACCCTGTATCAAGTGGACGAGTAGCTCAGTGTGTTTCAAATGTTTCTTCTCATGCATATTTTTAGTAAAATGAATCTTTATTTAGCTCTATCAAACGGATACAAGCGAAAGTCCTGTGGATATCCGTTTCCCAGGTTTCACTGTAAATCAAGAAAGAAGTTAAACCGAAACAGCCAAGCCAAGCGAATTCGGTCGAGCTTAAAATAACAAGACCAATGAGTTTGTGACTTTAGGCAATGGATTTTTTTCCCTAATCAGGAAGTTACGCAATTTGACAATATATTTTTTTCATAGATTACCACGGTCTGCCATTTGTGACGTCATCCGAACATAAGTATTCTCTCTGGTCAATCTGCTCTGTTTGTTGAGATTTCCTAATTTGATTACAAGGCAAAACCTTCCAATCCAATTGATGCCTTTTAGGAAAGAATTTGATTTCATAAGTTGAAAGTATGCCCCTTGGTAGTAAAAACATTTCTTCATAAACAAAATAGCTAGGTATCTAACTGGAATTTCGCTACCATATCGACACTGCATTAAACTGCATTTATGGCCATTAAGGTATTTTCGAGTTTTGTCAAAACTGACGTGCTGCAGTCGCGAAAAAAATTGAACAGTTTAACTAAAAAGGTGACAAAATAGGATTAAATGAGCTCAATTCTGAAACAGACAGACTTGAAGAGTATTTGAAAAGTTGTCTTAAATAACCGATTAGATTTAAGAAAATCTGGCAAAGATCTTATCTAACCTTGACCTCAAATAGAGAAAAAAGAAACAACAACAACAAAGAAAAGCTACAGAGAGAAAATAGAAAGAAAGAGGCAAAAACAAATACAGCTGCTTCCAAAGCAGAAGCACGAGTGCCATTGTTGGCTATTGTCTATCCAAATATTTTTGTCGACATCATGGTAAAAATATTGCAGTCTATTTTTACAGAAATTCAACCCGGAATAATCCCGAAATTTCGTTTGTATTGGACACTTAAACATATAGCACCGTGTGAAAGAAGTGAATTATTGAAGGGGAATGTTTTGGATGGCTACCCACCAATAGATTTCGTCCGCGAAATCAAAAGTCAGAACCAAAATACCCATTAAAAAGCTGAATGGTTTAATAAAGTCCATTGATACACATAAGCCACTTAAATTCTTGTGAAAATATTTTGATTCATACAAAAGTTGGCTCTTTTGGCGTGTATATATAAGAGCAAAATATTGCAGACGGCATTAGTATACACCACTGTGTTAAGTTATATAATAAGCCGATGGAAGCATGGGATAAGGAGAGATTTTTCTCTTCTTACTCCCGTTTAATGCCTAAATGCACGCTAAGTCCAACCCGACGTAGCCAATAACAGCGATTAAAGCAAAATGTTCCATGACAACCAAAAGTCCTTCTGGGACCTACTCAGTGAAGATTGTGTCGAAAAAGGAGAAACAACCAGTCTTTTCATGACCGTATTTCCTCTGAAGAGTTAATTATAGAATTAAGAATAAACGGATGCCAAAAAATTGACGTTCTCATCAAGACAAAGCATGACAAAGGCCTTGCTCAAGATCTGCAGATTTCTTAGCGGTAACATTTCTCTAAGGTAGGAATCCACATATGATTTGAGGCCCAAACGTTCTCCTCACACGAAGGTCTAAAACCTTAAATTTACTACGTTTAGACTGTATGAATTCTCTGTTGATTTTGTACTGAGCGTCTCATCCCGCAAGATGCTTATCGAATAAAAGATAACCTCCTTCTGTATTGAGTCATCATTCCCTAGATAACTACTCATAAATAAAAAATAAGTTGAAACCTTATATGGATGACTTGGATGTATTCAAATTAAAGAAAGGAAGCGATAAACTTTCGATAGGACACACACAAGTGGTCTGAAATTTTTATGGAACAACTCGTACACTGAGGAACAGAAAAATAAGTGATTATTGAATAAGCCGCGAACACATAACTTGATTTCTGTTTCAACTTTATAACGATCATCAACGAAACGTAATTTAAATGTTTAAAAAGGGACTTTGGCTGAACGGTTTTCATATCATGATCGTCCGTATCCTGGCGATCACAATGTTTTTTAGTCAACCGAATCATGAGGGAATTTTAAGCACCTATGATGCGGCGATGTTGTTCTTTGATGTTCTCTCCTGAGAAAAATCATGTGGCCGGCATCTTTCGGTTTGGACAGTTAAGAAAATTCACGTCAAAAATCACTAGCTCTACCCATACAAACATGCTTGGTAACGTGTTGAGACTGTGGACAACTACGTCAGCTATGTCGGTGTTGATTAACAAGCTTCTTCTTTAGTTTTCACCAGTACAGTGAAACGTTTGATCACTAGCACATGGTTTTATTGGGGTTTAAATTGTTAAGGGTCATATAATGATCCGTTCCCTGTGACTCCCAATGTTAAATGCATCAAAAAGAAACAACAATTTTTCATCGTCTATATTCTTATAGACCGACCATAAAGAAAGACATCAAAAGTCCATCAAATCACTCGTTCAAAGACTCCCACTGTCTTTTATACGGACCGTAAAAAAGACCCCTGTGTAAGAACCTAGTGGCTTAAGAAACTGCTTGCAGAAAATTGCCATTTTGATACCCAAAAATATAAGAGCCTGCCAGTGTTTACTAAGAGAGCCAAGCAAGATCAAACAAGTTCTTTTGTCTCAGTGGCCTATTGACATAAACATTGAAACCGAGGAGATGACTTTGAGATTTGCAAATTTAGCTAAATTTATAGCCAGAAAATACTGTAAGAAACTGTTAATTACAAATAAGAGAATTCTTGTGATTTCTACAACAAAAAAGTTGAAAAAAGGTGTTTATATAAAGTACAGAATGTATTTTGTCAAGCAGAGGTTTGCAATGTAAAGTTGTGCATTAAAATATAAATACTGTATACTTCAGGACCAAACCGGCCAGCTCTGACAAGTTTAATATGTATTTTTCTAACCCTTATACCCTAAAACCATCTCCTACATAGAAATTGAGAATCTAATTAAGAACCTACTTAGGCTATAGATTGCCAGTAAACGTCCCAAAATACAAGTCGGTAGAACCTTTCCCTGCTAGACTTCTAAAAAAGCATGTATAAACTACGGTTCTTAGCCGTTTGACAGAGTCTTGACAGAGCAATAGTCAGGGGCATAAATTACTTGTTGCACGTCTCACCACTATAGACTGATTGAAAAAGGTAGAATTCTACAGAACCTGTCTGAGTTCCTGACTAATGATCTCTTTCTAGCTTCTACATTTTCCCTCCTACCAGCTAGTAAGCTAAACATGTGTCAAAATTAATTCGTGATCGAACGAATACGCAAGAAAAAATAAAGAAAGATACAAATCAAGCATTTTTTTAAAAAAGGACCTTGTTCAGGGCAGAAAAAAGGTAACTTTTTTTCAGTGTAACAAAAGCCTTTTCCTGCTCTTAGAACTATTAAAAAAAACATACTTCCTCTACGTAAAGCGGAAAGGGAAATTGAGAGACTAAAAGCGAAAAAAATTGGCAAAGCTCGAAACAAGGCATTAGAGGCAAGGGTTTTTTTTTCGGGATACAATGTAGCTGGTGTTGTGTTTTAAAAACCTTCACTATTTTTATCTCGTCGTTACGTATACCAAATTACGGTTTGGGTATCGTTCAACTCATTTCAGTCTTTTTCATGTTAATATTGTATGTTACGTTACTCAGTAATCGCAACTATTCTATAACACCTAGAAACTGCCGACCCCGGTTACTTTATCAGTCTTAATTGATTTTTTTCCGCGCAGAGTGTGTTAAAATTACAGCGAATTTAAAGCGATAAACTTCATGACCGCGAAAACTCGTCTGACCCGACAAATAAAAATACTTCAACAGATCGAATCCCCTACGTCTGTGGAAATTTAATATTAAATAGAACATATCTCAACACTGAAGAAGTCAGAGAGTCAGACAAGATTCAGCGCAGTATGTTGCCCAAATCACAGACAGTTAAGTTGTTTTAAAAAACAATGCCTGTATAAGCAGAGATTCTTTCAAGATCCTGAGTCAGATACTCTGGAATCAATCTTGAGCTATGAATCACCATTTAAATAAACAGTTTATTGGGACGGTATAAAGCAACCAGACGTAACTTGACTCTCCAAACAGATGAAGAATTGGGTCATTAAGAGTCAGCGAAATCCCTTCAATATCTCCTGCTTAGGTCGCTTAATCTTCAGGTACCATTGATTGTCTTTTTTTTTTAACAGAATAAGTTGTTTACATATTTTAGAGTAATTTAGCGGCTGAATCACTAGGATCACTGACTAAAATACAATATACAATAACCTTAAGAACAATAGAGGTATGATTGGGGGACAACGAACAATAAAGAATGTGAGCCTTCTTTTCACAATACCTCTTATTAGTTATGACTTTGCAAAAGCAAAAAATACAATTGAGCGCATCGAAAGCACGTTTACCCTTTCAGAAAGTTGAAATCGTGAGTTGATCTTGCACCAAACTAACCCACGCATTCCTTCTGCGCGTAGGAAGAACTGACAACTAAGACTTGTTGAATCTTGTCAGTATCTAGTTCACGGCGTAGCACATACCCTAACTTATCAGCTGACGTTTGCTTTTGTTTAGTGTAGATTAGAATTGTTGTAAATACTGTCTAGTAACAAAACAGGTCCAAAGTTTAGCCATTGAAATGTTAAAAATTACCTGTGACATAACCTGCTTGCTCCAAATATCTTGCGTAACTTTTCCTTTCTGGACCCTTTCTCCAAGACGGCGATGAGCAGTTTAAGTTGTTGGTAAAGGTGTAATGATTATGCGCGTACTTTCCTGTTAAAATACTTGAACGGGAAGGGCAGCACATCGGCGTTGTGACAAATGCGTTCACAAAATCCGCACCTTCTTGACGCAAAATTTTCTGTGTTTTTTTCATTACATCAGGAGATCCTAGTTCGCGGTCCATATCGTCAAGAAGGATAAAGATGATATTGGGTCGCCGAACAGATCCATTCCCTCTTCGAAAATTGTATTTCATGGACTTGCGTGCTCCTGATGTAAAATCACACATCAGGATCGCCAGGAAAATGATAACGTTCAGCGTCATTTTGGCGCAGTTCACTGACGTGGAAGAAACAAGACCAAAGGAGCTTACAGGAATCTACAGAGATGAAAACGCGCGAAATCATTGGTGCTGACAAAACATGTTGAAGACAGGCTGCCTGCCTTCAGCAAGGGTTCGAATATTTTAATTATCGGGATGAAATTACTTTAGAATCCTGCGATGATTGAGAAGATATGCAAAATAATTTCAAATAAAACGGCTAAATTCCCGCTGGGATTTGGTGAGAAATGTATCACTTGATTAAATGGTTGGCGAATGATTGGGCACAGGGACGGCTATGGCATGAATAGATGAAGAAGGCAAGTGGACTGTAATGACAACACATTAGGTATAAAAACCCCCGCTTGGAGCTTAACAAAAAAACAAGAGTTCTCTTTGCACACTCACCCGGATTCAACGTTGACGAAAAAAGGTGATTACAGCAGAGGCATTTTATGTATTATTTGTCTGTGGCCAAACAACCGTATATCATCAAATGACTCCTGGAGAACACAGACAGCGCGTTTTAAAAGACCTTTGTTTGAACACCGGAAACCATACTCAAGAAACAAAAACATATCAATTGGCGGCACTTATGCTCTTCAAAAACTCAATACAAGAAAATGAAGACGTTTATTTTGCAAAATACCGTAAATGAATAGGTTTTGCGCTAAAATGGTAACAACTCGAGAGTTTAATAAATTTATCCGGGATTATAAATCCAGAAACTCACGCGCGTCAGAACAAGTGATCGGCTCCTGGCGAGAACACAATATTGGAAAGGTTCTTTCCTTGTTGTTTTTTTCCTCTTTTCGTCGGCTGGTGGTTTAGTCGAAAAATAAAAAATACTAGAAAAACCCTGATAGTATTTTAGATCTAGAACTGCTGAAATTTATCAGTAATTCTTAAGACCGCCTGGAGATGAATACATATCGCTTTTCGTTGCACATACCCCCACATGTAATCATCTTTGAGTTGTCATTATCATGTTTCACTTCGTTTTAACAGTCACTTTTCGCGTTTACCCAGGTCTTTGAAAAATGCTAGTTGAAAATTTTAATTATTTAAACAGACGGCAGCTAGAGACAAGCTGTGTATGTTTCTTGATAACTCGATTTCTCTCTAATAAATCCTAATAACTTACATAAGTGATCCTGAGTCTTTCAAGAACATTATGATTATGTAATATTTTCACTAAGGAAAATACAATTCCCAAATCCACAGTCAGAGAAAGCTTCCCAAACGCGGTTGTGTTACAGAGTACGTTTTTGCATTGCTCCTGCTAACAATCAATTCGTGAAACATATGACACCCTCAAAGTGCGTAACCTGCGAATACAGACGGTGTCTTGGCCCTCTTCGCTCCTCTTCGCTAGGGACGGCAGTTCTCGAGAGAAACGTCGCCTTTCTATCGCAAAACCGGTCCCTAGAGGCGTGGAGCAAGGAGAGACGGCTGGATTCGCAGGCATCAAAGTACGTAAAACTCTTTATCCAATCCTCAGAAGGGGTTAATCGCATGACGGAGTGTATGGTGAGGTACGCTTTACCAATTGACATACATGAGCAGATAAAAATTTCCATTTGTTTTTATTTCATTTTTGCCCCATTTTATAATCAGCGGGATAATCAGTCTCCTTGTAGTAACAGTTGACTACGTTTTTCACGGATCGAGGTCTACACATGTACAAGATTCGGCCGTGGTTTATTACCATAAGATGAGTGGACGTCATTATTGTAAGGCCTGTAAGAGTGCAGATAACAGAAAATTGAGCCGTCGATTTGTTTCTACCACATTACACATGATTCAAAGTATTTAACTTCCATCTCTACATCATTTCATCTAAGAGCCAGTCCAAGTCCGGACGAGTGAATGGCTCCCCAAAAGGCCGGGAAATGCTGAAGGGAGCGATTTAAAAAATAAATAAAAGCTAAGAATAATTGGTACGTGATTCATTTTCACTGGATTAGCCGAATGCTGTTGTTTTTGTTCTAATCTCGGTTAATTCCTAAATTTGAGACCGTTACGGAAAGGCTTTAAAAAAGAAAATCATAAATAATTTGAGTTGCGGAATTAACCTCACAATACACCTCTCTCAGTGAACGCCCGTTCGATCTGATCAAGTGCTTTATTTGTTTGGGTGTTTGATGGTCATTCGATTTTCAAAATGATAACAACGTTTACCACCTTGGGCTCTGAGGAAGACAATAAACATGTAGTAAAAGGATATCGAAATGAAATAAAAAATAAAGAAACAAATTTTACATTAAATGTTGTTTGGCACAGGTGGGTGCTGGTCAAGATTTTAAGTATCGACTCAGGGGACGAATGAAATGCTACGTCGATGTAACTATTCAAAATGGAAGCTACTGAGTAGTACTTTCTTGTGGTACTCCCTGTTATGCTCAGTACAAGGTGGTTCTATAGCTAGAGTTTGAGTTTGTGGATAACATTCTATGTTGCATTCAAAAGAAAGCTACTGTGCAGTACTCTCCTGTGGTACAGTTTACCATACTTTATAAGGTGCAGAAGGTGGTTCTTACTTAATTTTGAGTCTGTGGATGAAATCCCGTTATGTAACCATTCAAAATGAAACTTTTTCAGCAGCAGTATATTGGCTTGGTAAGTTTTTTTTCTGTATTTTAAGGAGCAAAATTTGTATTTTTTACGTGCTAGCCACTCATTGAGGAATGACAAAGAATACAGATACTGTAGCAATTACACGTGACTGTTTAAATCAAAGCTTTTATTCCAAATTTCCTGTTGAGGAGGTAATTTTGTCTTTTGTATTAAGTGATGAAGCATTTTTGTCATTATTTGTTTGAATTTTAAACGTTAGTATTTGAGGGCGTGAATCCGGGTGGGGCATCAGCGTCTTCCGTTTTCCGTTTGAGTTTAACCTTTTCACCCAGAATGAATCTAAGCTATCTCAAGATGAAAGTCCAATTTACTTTCCTAAAAATACTAAAAACCAGTAGCACTGTACATGTCAAAGTGTGGCTGGGCAGGTCTCAATTGAACAGTAGCATAACTCATAGGGATATCGTACCTCAGACTAAAGAGGTGGTATTGCGTAACATGGTGACTTGATGCACGGCTTCACCGCTTCAGTTCTTCTTCCCTAGTAACTTCTTTTGCTTCGTACCAGTTAGAAAGCTTAACAAGTATCACACTGAATTATTTCGTGATGGAAAGAATAAGGAAGAAATATTATAAAGCCGGAGTGAATGCTGCTGGAATAGAGCTTGACTTAATCACGTATAAAGTGACCTCGGTCGGTCAGCTGAGCGAATGATGACTTTTTTGAAGTGTAACAAAAGCCATTTTCCTACCTTTAGAACTAAAAATAAAGCATGAGTATTTCTCCGCCTACAGCTGAAGGGAAATTGAAAGCGAAAAGAGATGCCAGAACAAAAAAAAAACCGAGGTTTGAGAAGCCTCAATATATGGCGTCAGTGCGAAGGGGTTTCTTGTCGAGATTTCGAGACTGAGTTGAGCTAATGACGTTCACAATAAAGGCGCGGTTTTGTGACTAAGGAATCCTCCCTTGTTTTGACTGATTGCCTCGTTACGTTTCATGCTGATAGCGTTGTTAAGTCACGATTTCATGCGGGGAATTGAAGTAAAGGAGGACTACGACAAACAGACTAAGCGATTACTGCCGGAATAGTAGAAACTACACCTTTCATGTTAACCGCAAAACAGCTAGTAAGACTGCAAGCAGTCTCTTGATTTATATTATTATAAAGTACAACTCTAGCGCGTTGGTGAGCGACACATGTTTGAAGACGAATAATAAGAGACCCCTCGCAGTTTGCGGAACGGTTACTCGGCAATCTTTATGCTTGGTTAGGTACTTGGTCGTCTTTCTGTTGTTCATAAACTGTTTTTAGAACTCGTAAGTAAATGAATAAGCAATGTATGTACGAAAATACTACGACTTACTAGTTCCTTTGTACTTAGTCATCGGCTTACCTTCAAAAGTAGTGGTCTACAAAAGTCAATGCACCCCTGGAAAGTGTGGATTCAGAATTTAAAGAAACGAGAAACGCTACCCGACTATTAAAGAAGCGCGGGAAAAAACGCTATCTTTTGATAACGCACTCCTACTTACAGCAAGCTACTTCTTCCGCCACACGTAAAGAATGACTTTAAAAACAACTGATGCTCGAAATGAAAACTGGGACACCCATAATAAATCCCACTTGACTTGTGTGAGCCTTACATTGACAGACAGTTTGCTTCAAAATTTTTGGCAGCCAGTTCGCGATCAACTTGTTTAATGTTTTCTCGACGTTATTGCCGTTCTTTGTTTTGCTCAAGTGTTTTATTTTGTTTTATCATGTCTTTTCTTTTACTCGAATTTTTTTTAATGTTTATTTCGATTATATTACAGTTTAACCAGTACCTTTAAAAGATCGCGGAAGAAGTTGGCTTCATTGTTAAGCTGTACGAAGATTATCCATTATCAACATGATAATTAAAAGTTTAAAATAGTTCAGAACATGAGTCAAAAATAATGGCGGGGGTAATGGTCACCAGTTAAAAAAAAAAACGGTTATCAGAGAGCCTCAAAGAAAACATTTATCCAGAAGTTTCTATAGTTATCCTACGGGCCTCTTCAGTACAAATGAATTGCGATCTTAGACTCCCGGGAGGGGGGGGGGGGGGGTAATAATGGCGGGGGTAATGGTCACCAATTAAAAAAAAAAACGGTTATCAGAGAGCCTCAAAGAAAACATTTATCCAGAAGTTTCTATGGTTATCCTACGGGCCTCTTCAGTACAAATGAATTGCGATCTTAGACTCCCGGGGGGGGGGGGGGGTACTTTCATATAAGATGCTAATGGAGATGTGCCGCTGGATGGGGTCGCATTTTCACGACTGGATTGACTATAATGGGGTCGCATTTTCAATAGAGTTACCAGAATTGGGTCGCACATTTTCGGATTTTTTGGGTAAGACAGTTGTTCGTATTTACGGTTAGCAAACGTACCAGAATGTTTGTACTGTAGGTGAAAACTGAAAGTGTTCTTCATTCAGTTTAAAAAATGGGTCAATTCATAAAAATAGAAAGTGACTAAGTTGGGATCGTGAAAATTACATATTTGCCCAAAAGTGACTAAAATGGGGTCTTTTATTAGTCACAGAATAGACTATAATGGGGTAGGGGCTCGGAGAGGCTAGCGGCACATACCATCAGCGAAAATTTACACAAGTACTTCCCTCCCCCCCGGCTCAGACTCTGGCAAACATATCTTAACCTACAAGGGAAAATTCTCACAATTAATTGCCCATACTGTTTGGCCATATTTGGTTGTATCTAGGTCTTTTTCTTGACTTCAAGTATCTGACCTTTTTGAGAGGTTAAAAAGTCTATGAATTTTTTTTGACCAGCAATGTTCAAAATATGCACAAAACGGTTCTGTCCATGCAGATTAAGTACCCAGAAATAGGTGCTGTTAAAAATACAGGGAGTGCAAACTGAATTCATTCAGTTGAAGTGCCAGTTAGTTTGAATGTTAAACATGTGAATCTCACGTGAAAGATCAGGATCATTTTTAGCAGCTTATTTTGCTTCAGTGATGCTATAAAAAAAAAAGTGAGTAACGGGCCACGAGACGATCTTTGAATAGCAGAGATCTTCGATCCGGGAGGGGGATACTCCCTTACAAGATGCTAATGGGGATGTGCCGCTGGATGGGGTCGCATTTTCACGACTGGAGTGACTATAATGGGGTCGCATTTTCAATAGATTAACTAGAATGGGATCGCAAATTTTCGGATTTTTGGGGGTAAGTAGGGTTTCAAAATGGAAAGATTCTAGCTCGGTTAAAGAATCGGAAAGTTGTTGTTTATTAAATTTAACAATAAGCTCGCACTGACCGCATTACATTCCGCCGCTTGAAACCACGTTAATAAAGTGACAAAGATGTCTATAATTGGCAAAAAAAAAAAAGACTGTAATGGGGTAGGGGCTCTGAGAGGCCAGCGGCACATACCCAGCAAGCATAAACCCAAGTACCCCCCCCCCCTCCCCCCGCCGGGTCTTCATTCGGCCTGGTGATAAGTAAGCCTTGGTAGTAACGTAATCACGGGACACTGCCACGTGCCTAAAGCAAAATTGACAGCTGTAATATGGACTGGGATAAACTGTTTCCATTCCCTTTTGAATGCGAGTTCTTTGCCGCTGTTCACTTAATTCAATTAAATTTAATCTCGGGTTTAACCTCTGAAATTATTACCACAACAGCTGTCCCAGCAAAAGCAAAGGCTTTTGTTTTAACATAGTTATTAGAGGAGACTGGTTATGAAAAGCGGCAAACATCAATGATAAAAAAAACAGTGCTGCAGTTTATGTTGGAAGCACCCTGAAAGTGCACAATCCTTTGTTTTCTGTTGGCAAATTGTTATAGAATAAATTAATGCAACGTTTTTATTGGTCAATACAATCAAAATGATCGGAATTCTTTTGAACGTTGTGCACTTTCAGGTCCACAAAAACATAACAAAGGAGTCTGACGGGTTTCATAACCATTCCACTCAATTAACTATGGTTTTAATGACCTTTTTATTCGCTTTTTGCCCAAGTATCCAATTTACTTAAAGTTAAATACATGCACCTTGCTAATCATCAGGTTATATATACTTTTCAAATTTATTTCCACTCAATAATTGCGGCGTATCAGACTGAGCAAAAAGAATGACGTTCCAAGTACGACTAAAAAATTAATTTTGTTTAGTTTTTAATTATAACAAACTTTTCAATTTTGCACGCAATCGTGATAATCGTTTTTAATTAGTGATGTATTGACGCAAACTCATTCCTTCATGCTTAGCGATTAGTGCTTATTCACAATTGTTTTGCAGTCATCACTTCATCACCAAATTCAGTTTCGGCACTGCCTTTCCGTCCAACTGGATATTTTCCACTTACCATAAGGACCATGAGTGACTGAATTACTTGCCAACACTTAGACTTAATTGCATGTTAATTCTCGATGTATTTCCAGTAAAATCAGCCTGTTCACATATCGTTCATTATAATTTCTTCAATAAACGTTCTCTCAGTCTGCATGGCTAACGCTCTCCTGACCTGGCCTGACCATGCGTGCTTAATGAACGTACTCCGTGTCAATTGCGGTGGATTTTACTCCGGTTTTTGTCCGTAAATGATTGCGTTAACTGGGAACTTATTTACAACCAACCCTATTCAAGCCTTGTGGCCATGCACGGCAATCAGTTAAAATCACTTCTGTTTTCACGCTATTTCATTGAACTTCGCACTTTGACGCTGTTCACTTAATTCTCTTAATTCAGTTTAATTTTATCGTTCTCGCCCTCTTGACTTCAGACGACCGCAGCCGTTCAAACAAAAGGCTTTTGTTTTAATTTCCCATGTTATTCGAGTAGATATAAGCAGTGTTCAAATCTACTAAAAAAACTTCTCTTTTCGGCTGATTTTTATCGTCAATGAGTCAATTTTTCCGCAGACTGATTCGTCTAATTGCCGTTTCTATAAAAAGTGTCCATTTACCTTTAGCAATCAATCAAATTAGTGAAGCAATTAATCTTCAATTGAGCCCCATTATCATTTTATGCGACTGGCTTAGCATATTTAGCGGATTCCTCTTAAGCATGAACCCCTCTTTTAAGAAGCACCATATCAGGTTTAATTTCACGGAAAGAGTTTGCACTTCGAGCTTCGGTTAAGCGTGAAGAAGGAAGACAACTTTGGCGCGTTTTTCAAACCTTCATCGACCATTTCGTCGGCTGTTAACACAGAAAAGTAAAAGAAAATCAGAGTGAAAATTAATCCACATGGTAAGAAAGCGATCAAGTATGGATTTAATCATAGTTACTTCAGAAAAAAATATTTTGCTCACCATAGAAGTAAAATCCAGTTTTAGATTCTGCTTTTAGGCATTTTGTAGATCTATTTATAGCTAGTATTTTTACAGTAGTAATGTATAGGTTTTTAGCATAATTTTTTATTTTTATTTTTATTTTTATTTTTAATTTTCTAATTTGTATACACGTACACGTTTTAACGAGAACTTTAGTACTCCTGGGTGTTACGTGTCTAAATAAAGGATTTGATTTGATTTGATTTGACCATAGACTCTTTGATCATTATTTCCAAAAGATACATATCGACTTCTCAATGCTTTTTCAAAAACTATTCAAATGAAATTCGGAGGAATTCAGAAATAAAAGATATAAGCAGAAAAGAAAGATAAGAAAAGAAAAGGAAATGAAACGGATAACGTTACTGTGCTTATGATACACTTTTTTGAAGATCACATATATAAAAACAGGCTATGTTGCCCGAAATATGGGTAACAAAAAATATATATTGCCGACTGTAAAATCAGCATTGCTTCTTTTGTTCGATGTTTCAACTTATAGCTGATTAGAGTCCGGTCATTCTTTTTTGTAACATCGGTCCTTGCTTTCAAAATTGAATTTGTTGCCCTAGGTTCATTTACACTGCTATGGAAGTCAAAGTAGGTAGGATGGATTTGAAATGTGTACAATAGATGCTCACCTAGTTTTTGTTTTTTTTGTTTTTTTTTTCCTTGAATTTTTATGGACTTTGCCAAATAAGCATTTGGCAGGCATAGACGGACACGATAAGGAGATGGATCTGAAAGAGCCCCACTCCCTCCCTTCCCTCCCCTTCCTCCCTCCTGAACAGGGAGGACTGAGAAAACTGCCGTTAAATTACTCTTCGTATAAGAAACAGCTTCAAAATTTTCAAATTCACTAGCATAAGAAGTTACACCTTAATTCTGTCGACCGTTGATAGGAAAAGTTTGTTTTAATTAGGGAGAATTATGGCGGATGAACATTGAGCCTTAACAGGCTGCAATTTTCATGTCATGGACGACAATTAAGAAAAATTGAAAACATAAATCGAAATTAGAAACTCTCTGACAAATAAAAAACATCTTGTTTGAAGGGGGATGGGTGGCTGTGGCGGAAAATTATGTTTTATATTATTTTAGGCCACATCAACTGGTCAAAACAAGACGTTGAATTATACCAGTCTGAGTTACCAAAGATGCCTGATCCCCCATACTGGCGAGGACTTGCAACACACATTACGTGACGTCACCAACTATGCCGTCATTCCACTCGACTTGCTGTTGGCTCTTCTGTCATTCATAAGTAACTTCATTGTTTTGATTGCTGTGGTAAAAACACGAACCCTACAGCATCCTTCGTTGCTTCTGCTTTGCAGTTTGTCAATAACTGACTTGTTGTGGGCATCATCCGCATTTGCTAAAGGCATAAAAACGTATGCAGATGAAGACTTTTGCCCAGGTCAGATACTCCTAAATTTATAAACTGTTTTAACCTTACTTTGGTAGATTTTATTTTATACCCCTCGGCGGGCGGGAAGGGGATGATCCCCATATAAGGTCTAAACGTCCCACCCCTTATTCCCCCTAGGGTCCCTTCCCCCTGTCCTGTCTCACTTATGAGCGATCAATGGGACAGTAGGGACCTTAAGATCCGAGGACGGCGAGAGCATAGAAAACGTCGCTGAAAAAGTGAATTCGTGTTATTTCAATCTTCATCGCGATTACTCCAACTTACTAACTTTGTGAAATTTAGGCGACCCCTTCCAAAGTTGAATTCCTAAGAACCATATCCAAGTTCAGGAAGAGAGAGGAAATTTTCCCGTCGCTTGGGTACTTCCTTGGGTACTACATCGTGAAATTAGGCATTTTGACTTCGTAGTCGTGCAGTGACGGCAAAGAAATGTACAAAAAATTCACGTGCAAAATTGTTGTTTTGCTAATTAAACCTATTGCTTTTGTGGCGTTCCCGTTGCCGTTGCTGTCGTCGGATCTTAAGGTCCTTATTAAGATCCGAGGACAGCGGCGGCAACGAGAACGTAAATTAAAAAAGCAATAGGCTGAATAAACAAAACATCAACAGTTTGCACTTGCGTCACACTTTTTTGTTCATTTCTGTGCCGTCACTGCACGACTACGACGTGAAGATACCTGATTTCACGTTTTATGGAGGACGTAAATAATCGCCCACATTTGATAAAGACGGTGGGTTGGAATAATCGCGATGACTCATAAAAAAGAACGCGATTTCCTATCACTCTTTTAGCTACATTTTCGCCGTCCTCGGAACTTAGGGTCCGTTATAGCTTGCCCCTGAGTCGATGACCTTGAGTTTGACGGGAACGGATTTCCGACATGAATTTAACAACACTCGCAAATTTGAATTTACAGCTCCGGGATCTTACGCAGTAATTCTGGGCGTAGAGCATGACTAAAACCGAGAAACACTTCATCTACAAAAGCTCGAATCAACGTTCTAAATTTTCTGAAATAGTCATAAGTTAATAGGCAGTATTCATTAATATGTTTTTATGGATGTATGAAAAAAGAAATCTGGAAAAAAAATTATGTGTCAGGATAAAACCATCTGAAAGATTTTCCTCCTTGTCGTTGCTTCTTTGGTCATCCTGGGTATGTTGGCGACCTGGTGGGCGACTCAAACATACTCAGTATTGATATTTTGCTCTTGTTTTACAGAATTATCTGGTAAATATTCGAGGGGTTTTTCATTATTGTGCTGGGTGTCTACGTTAGGTAACTTGGCGATTATCAGCAGAGACCGCTTTCTGCCATTGAGCAAGCCTTGGTGGTACCGTAATCACGTGACACGATCACGTGTTGTGAAGCAAGCAATTCTGGTCTGGATATCGGCTGTGTTATTGGCCATATCTATATTCGCCTCATTTGACTTGGCAGCAACGCCTGCTGTCTTTGCATATTACCTTATATCTCTTATTGTTATTGTTTATTCTTATATTGGAATTTTCATCGCAAACAAACGTCAAAGGCGGGCGGTACACCAGCACGGAGCTGAAATACTCGCTGTTGTAGCACGCGAAAGGAAATTGGCCAACACAGTTTGATTGATCTTAATAGTTCTCTGCTTCACTTTCCTTCCTGCACTTTGGGCTCCATTAATTTTTTGGCTCTCTAACCTCTCAAGCGCAGAATATCACCCTTTTCGATTTTTCATTGAAGTTTTTCTCACGCTCAACGGATTTTTAAACCCGCTTTTGAACTTTGGTAGAAATAAGAGCGTACGTAGAGCAGTATTTGATTTAATTAAACGCTGTAACTAGGTCGGTACAACTATACTGACGGTCCTCCTTTTTTGTAAAAAAAAATTGAGTTAATACAGGAGCCCATAACACGGAGAGAGCAACTCCCTTCTTACCAGGCCAATGTCACGGTGTTTTCACGAACCGGTTTATTTTTACATACACTAATGGAGCGCGTTATCCCGCGAAAACGGAAACTCCGCTCCGTCTAAGCCAGCGCATTCGAAGAATAGGATACCAAAAACGACGATTGAACGTCTTTAAAAGGTCAAAATATCATTCTTAATAGGTCTGTAGGTTTTGCTGACTAGGTTGTGGGACAAATTCTTGCCACTGAAAAACTGTTAGTAAAAACGCCGTGATATGGATTTTGCTCGTTCCACCGGGTTACGGACTCTTGGTTCATTTCCTTTCATTTCATTTCAAACAATCTATAATAGTACGAAGAGCAGCGATTAGATTGAGCAAATAGTTAATTCTCTGTTTTCCATTTTTTTTTGCGAGGTATCTCACCATACAAGTCAGAATAATATCAACTTGTAAATTTAAAAGACAATGGAGCGCAATTAGCTATAGGCTGTTCCAGGCTACAATATACTGAGTAGAGAAAGCGGATCGAGAAAAAGAAGAGTCGTTCTTCGTTTGCTCGAGTTTTTCGCTGCTCGCTTCCTCCACGTCGATTTATGTGACGGAGCAAAGTTCTCCCTCGTCGATCTCTGAAGTGGAGAGTCAGACATACAGGATAGTTGTTCACATTATACGGGATAGCATAGCCTAAGTGATCGAAAAATAACCATAAAGCAAAGAAAGTGCTACCATACGCCAGCTTCCTCTTCCGTTTGCCCATATTCGCTCGATCGGTCACTTATAAACAGAATGCACGCCGAGTGAGCACTCTTAATGTACAGGTTCATTCAGTGAAACTTCAATGAAGAAGGTTTCCTTTACTGCTATTAAAGAATTTAAACAATCAGAAAATAATGATATAGTTAACAATAATTATAATGCCATTTACTGAAGGGATTAAAAATACTTTAGCATGTGTGCTATTTAGTCAGAGACTGCAGCATATAAACAAGAGGTATTACTGAAAATGAATTATGTGTATAAAAAAATAAAATTCTTAAGCCACTACAAACTATATATGTCTGGCCGATTTTTTGAAAACGAACCTGACAAAATCTGCAGCCCGTTGAGTGAAAAAAGGGCCAAGAGGCAGGTTTTTTTTGCGCCCGATAAGCTCGATAAATCACATCAGAGAAGGAAAAGGAAAGGAGGAAAAGTAACGCTGATCCCAATACTCAGGCCAACGTTAATTCTAGCCCGAAGCCCTTGACGGGACAAGCATAACTGAAAACGATAGAATGAGTGGACAACCAATAATTTTATAGCGTGTGTGACAGGCGAAAAAAGGGGAGGGAGAGGGGGAGGAAAAAAAGCTGAGGTTCCGTCCCCTTTCCCCCTCCTCCCCTACCCCTTTCAACACCTACCACGCAAGGCGGGCTAACAATCTGACTAAAAATTAAAGACCCTTTAAGTGTAACAAAAGACGGATTGAAACGCACCAATCCCATTTAGAGTCTTCATAGCCTATATCATCCCGACTTAACTGCCAGCCGACGACCAATAACATCGCGACTAAATTGACCAATCAACTGGTCAGTAACTAGTCAAGAGTTTAAATGCCGTCAATTAACGTGATACAACCCACTTTGACTCTGAAGATGACTACCGCACAAGTGTCGAAAGTTAACTTAAGTCACCATCACTTGCCCTAAAAAATAAAAAATTATTATATTTTCATAATTTTTTAGGGGCCTGAATGGGTCTTGTGGTAGAAGCATTTATCTTTAAGACCTATACTTTTTAATCAGTTTCACTAGCTTTGCCTCATGCACTGACAATGGCGCCTCGAAACCAGTCGCTTGGCATTTGAATATTAAGAATTATTCCAGCCAAAACACGGTTACATGCGGTCCGCCCTCCAGTCAAGGCAACACGGAAAAACTGTAAGTTGAAACGTCGACTTCTCAAATCTTTTTTTAAAAAAGGGGACAAATTGACTTTTTTGACAAGAGTTCCTGCTTTTTAGCTTTACCCTGCTGCATTGCGACTGAAGTTCGTTGGCGAATTAATTACCAGTGGACACAAGTGCATCACTAACGTTACCTAATTAAAGAGGGTCTCAATGGGGTTAACCGATAGGCGTAAAACGGCCAAAGATTTAGGCGATAGCCGTAAAAATTGAAAAATTTTAACCGTTAGCCGTAAAAGAAATTGTTCCCTAGATTTGCTACTTTTAAGGAAGGTACTAAACTTACTTATGGTTGCGTTTTTTATTTCGCGGCTAGTGTGGCTCCGTACGCACGTTAGGTAAAGCGCCTTTTAGGTAAACACCAAGAGCCATTTCCATTTCCGCCGCTCTCTCGGGGAACTAATTTTTTTCCTTAGCGAAAGTGTGGCTTCTTGCTGGGAATTAATATTTGCGACTTTCAGGAGGTCGTGCCCTCGAAACACTAGTGAAACAACACGAAGAGATCTCACTGTTTGTAAAACAAGTTGCCGATAAAACAACATTTCCCTATTTTCTCTGACGCTACGGTAGACATTGCCATGCCTAGTCCCTGTACAGAATTTTGTTATTGGCCGTTTTCACACTAGAGCTAGAAACGGGTTATCCGTCTGAGACTAGCCTGGGTACAGTCGCCCCCTTCCCCATTGAGACCCTCATTAAACTGTGAAAATCTCATCAACAGGGAAAAGACCGGAAAAGGAAGTTCAGCCTGAATTTCAAGTCACAGCTTCTTTGATATTCGTTTAAATGTTCTGCTGCTGGTTATACGCAATGCTCCAAAAACAAAAACCATGATTAAACTGAGCAGGTCTTGAAGATTAAAATTGTAAACTGATGTGTTTATTGAAAAAGTGAAAAGTTTTATCAATAAGTAAAATTTTAAGTCCCTACGTGAAGACTTTTCCTTTTAACGGTATCAGTTTCCGCGTAAAACAGGAGACATCTGGCCGCAGGCTGGATTTAAAGCCCACGAGTAAGCGTGCAATTATGGGGGTGTTCAAAAGTACGCGGAACAAGTGAGGTATCAATTAAACAAATTTAGAAGAAGGTAACTAAAGGAAGTTTTTCAAAAAAGAAGGTAATAAGTGTGGATGTGAAATAGGTGCCACTTATAATGGCGAAGTGTCATTTAAGCTGTCGCAGTAACTTTGAGGAGACTTTTAATACTAAAAAATTATAATAATTATTAATAGTATTCATGACAATACAAGGCTGGCAACGTCGAAGCACGTGGAAGAGAATGAACACGACTTCCTTTGCTCAATTTGCTGCTCTGCCATTGGTCAATTGGTTTTTTAGATGAGCCGCGTGACTCCAGGAGTTGAATTCTCAAATGCTTTATCCAGGTTCAGAAAGAGAAAGAAAAATTCTTCGTCGAAACATCTCATTAGGAGGTTTCACGTCGTAGAAGTGCAGTGAACGTCAAAAGCGTGATGTACGTGCTAAGTTGTTGTTTGGCTCACAAAATCATTTGTTCTTTGACGTTGTCGTCGTCACTGTGGCTGCGTAAGCTCGCTATTGTCACCGCTAATAATACTAAATGGCAGGAACTATTCGTTACTGAACTAATCTATTATTCTTTTAAGAGTATAAGTGAAGATTAGCCATGCCCCACCATCACCTGCCCTCAAAATAATATCGGTACCTTGCTGTTTTTATATTTTTCACGATATTTACGACGAGCACTTACGTCGTTTTAGGGAAGTACTCCCTCAGGGTAAATAAATTAGAAATTGAAAAATCGTCGTGAGTAAAAAGGAATCGCTATTTATATTCCAATCTTAGTATTATTGCAGACAATGAATGTCAGCTTCACTTGTCAATGAGAAGTTTTGCAGTCAGGACCTCTGCTCTCGCTGGCAAAGTTTAATGGAATTTGCCTATCTAGTTCTAGAAGGAAGTTTTCTCTTAAACGGCTAAGCGAATCATTGTCCTTTTAGGAAACTATAAATTCAAGTTTAGTTTAAGGCTCAGTTGTCAGCCCTTGGGCCGTGCTAAAGGAGACTAAACCAAAAACAATTTGGATCCTCCCCCGCTGCGAAAACACGCCAAATCACGGTTCTTGAAAGGAAAAAAGGGGCAATCAAACGACGGTTTACTCCTTAATACATTGAGAAATGTTTTTAGGCTATCCATAAAATTTGTATCCGTTCGGTTCTCCTAGGGGAACTCGAGTCTTTCCGAAATTACAAGCGCTTCAAAATGAAGGAAAGGACAGTGGGAATGATTTTATCATTGAATGTAAAATACCACTTTGACATATTCGGGCGCTATTTCTTCGAATTCACGGGGTTTGGGGCGGGAGCTGGGCATTTAAATATAGTTCATGATATCTATATCTCATGCAGTTTTCAGTGATTGTTCCAGCAAATACTGAAAGCAACGTTAATTACAGTCTCTTCCCAACTATTTATTTTTTATGTCTGTTTACTCTACTTTATTTTATGACCTTTGTTATTTTGAGTACAGGTTCTAAAACTGCCACAATTTTCTCAAGTAGAAAAAAAAATCATCATGAGTTTCACCTGCCGCTGACTAAGATCAAAAACATACTCACTCCATACCGCCTTTTCCGTTTTAATTATAACTAATCTCTAGACGGTTGTTTAAAACGCAATCATACTCTTTTTACCACAACAAGACAAGAAATGAGAGTTTATTTTGCACTAGCTAGAAGCAACGTGCTTAACAGCGTTTATTTGTATAAGTCATTTAAGAATATACATAAAAC